AGCACACTCCGTCATACATCACAGCGGCACCAACCTGCATCACAAAACCACGTTTACAATGCCCCTCTTGTAGTGTTGTGTATAGTATACACACACACAGTCACTTCTTAGAATTGGCTTCCACCCAGCCTCGTTCCGTACCATATCTAGAGTGTTGTTCACATTTGTTCCCCATGTCCACCCACATTTTTTATGGCCTTCCTCCACTTCTCGGATACTCTCACTACACCAGTCTGCCATTATTCATTCTTTACTCTATTCTCATATCACAAATGCTGCTCAGGTTATCTGTTTCTACTGTTTTGACTTTTGACTTTTCAAATTCATACATTATCATCATTATTAAATTTGATTTTACTAAATTGTTTCAATTGCAATATGTTTATTTTTGTTTATTCGAACCTTGCTATCGAGTCATTTTCGTTTACCAATTATATTTCATGCTCTTCCAAGGGATTTTTGTCTTTACAACATATATATTTGAGTCACAATAATAATGAAATTTGGAATATGGTTTATTATTACAACCATTTTAATTTCTAATTTGTGTTTCTTATATAAGAAAATTTCATATTTTAATTAAATTTTTTGTTTTCAATTCTAGATACAGTACTTTCTGCTACCTCAAAATGTTTTTAGTCATACTTCAATTGTTTTTTAAAAGGTACTGTAACTTTTTCCGTATTTTCTTGCTCAACTTTTTTTTTTACAAATTTTATATTACTTTTTGGTTTTCATCATTTTTCTCCTCTACTTTCTTAAATCGTAATATTTGCAGTTTTACTCCTGAGGATATTCAATATTACTTCGAAACAGAGAAGAAATTGTGTTTATGCTAAAGTCTTTCCCTCTTGCCTTGAGTTGTACATGTGTATATGCATGTACTGAATGGGTGTGTGTGTGTATATTATATTATATTATATTATATTATATATATATATATATATATATATATATATATATATATATATATATATATATATATATATATATATATATATATATATATATATATATATATATATATATATAATATATAATATATAATATGAAAAGGAGAAATGAAGGATCCATTAATTAAACTACAGACCAATCTTGTTAATAAGTACAGTGTGTAATTCTTTGTAAAAACATCATCAGGAAAAGGTGGATAAAATATCTTGAAAGTTACAATCTTTTACCTACAAAAACATTTGGAACTCGTGGGGATTATCAGTTGGGTGACAATATATAAAGGAAATAGAAAAATCCCAGCATTAAATGTAATGAAACACCTCTTTCTGGATGAGCTCTGAAGCTTCCTGAAGCTATTCTGAAGCTTCTTGAAGCTATTTTTCTGAGATTGCTCCATGCAGATGGAGCCACCAGATGCAAAAATTCCTACTGGAGACCAGAGTCAAAACCAGCCCCCCCCCCCTCACAGAGGCACAGAAAGCAAGTGACAACTTGCCACCATACTGGAATTGCATCCAAAAAGTCAGTGAAGCTTTATAGACAGCTGGATGGATAACAAAGATCTATGTCTTGAAATGACTGAAGAACTCTGCATACGATTCACACAAAACAAGATAAACATTAAAAATTAGCATGAAACTCTTAATACTAAATGGCACCACTAGGAGGTCAGACTTCTGCACAGGGCCATCCTCCTTGCTCAGTTCTGGAGCTAATGAACAGCCCATCGACACATCGACTAACCTAGTAGGGAGGGAGTCAGGGAGCCCTCGGAGTTTATCCAGAAAGAGATGTTGCATTAAATTCAATGCGGGGTTTCAGGGGAGGAGGCTCATAGTGGTTCCCTGCAGCTACCACTGAGAATTAAAACAGAACTTACCAGGGAGAATAGATGGGATGCACTAGGAAAAAGAAGAGAATCCAAACTAGGAGACATGACCCAAGGCAACATATGACTGACTGGGACTAGTGACATTGACCAAATACCGGGCTGCCAAAGCCCCCGAGTCCAAATATCAGCCCAGGACATGTTGAAGAAGATTGCAGCAGGCTAACTAAATTTGATGACTGCAGAAAACCTTGGAAATATGAGCCAACAAGGCATCCATTAAGGCCAACAAATGAACCCCTAGAACAGTGGTTCTTAACCTTTTTTGGCTCACGGATCCTATTGAAAATCTGGTAAAAGCAATGGACCCCTCCCTAGAAAAATGCACATATAATGTCTGGTATAATTAGACAAAAAACAACTTAATATAAAAATATAGTGTATAGTGAATATAAATGTTAAATTTTAATTTGACTTTCACAGACCTTGAAGCCCATCCATGTTAAGATAGGCTTCAGGAGTTTCCAGGTTAAGAACCCCTGTTCTAGAAGGTGCAGATGGATGATAATCACCGATTCCAACTTGGTAAACACACAGGGAGCCAGATTTAATCCTAAAGGAAGAACCTTGAAGCAGTAAGCCTGATGTGCCACCACAAAACCTAACCAGTCCTTGAACCTAAGATTAATAGGGACTTACTAGTATGCATCCTTGAGATCCAGGGATACCAAGTTCCAGCTTGTAAAACCATTAATACTTGAGGCAAGGTGGTCATGCAGAAGGTGTTCAAACCCAAAAAATGGAGGATGCATCGTAAGACCATTTGAGTCCCTATTGAGGACTGGGAACACTGAAGGGACGAGGTCAACTCAACCACACCTGAGGCAACCCAATCCGCAATGACTAGATGGAGGATACCTACCTGAAAGTCCTGACCTGACTTCAAGAAAAGGGGAGGGACCAACCAACTCCATTGCCGGCTATCGGAAATGACTTGAAAAGAAAAGACCATGAATCATGGGAGCCGGAGCTGGCAAAACAAGGCAAAGTTTCCCCTATGGTGATGTAAAGAATGGAAATCTGCAAAGGGCCTGGCATTTACCATGAGCAGAACCACCTTTCCACAATATGTAGTTGTGACATCCAGCAGAATAAAAACTTGCAATAGGAAGTGCAACAGCTTAGGAATCTGATTCTACCAAGGAAATCAATTCTAAAACAAACTTTTGCAACTGAAGGGGCAAATGTTGGAAGCTGGTGTGGTGGTGAATTGTCACTCGCTCTAGGCACTTTTTGTGATGAGAATGAGGGTAGGGGGGCAGGTTTTGGTTCTGATCCCTGGTAGGACAAACAGAACTTCCGCATTTGATGTGACCCATTTGTATGGAGCAATCTCAGTGAGATAGCTTCAAAGAACCGCCGGGGGCTCATCCAGAAAGAACAGGTTATTGAAGTGACCAAATAAAAAGCACACCAAAATAGTCATAGAACTTCTATACAGCACTGGCCAACTTTAGGTTGGTATTCAGTTATAAGGACTAGATAATGAACAATATTATCTTTATAGTAGTCATTAAAACAAGACATATGCTCTCACTCATTTACTCATTTACAATCGACTTGAGAATGGTCCAGGACGGACCGAAACGTCGTCGTCCCTTCACCTTCTAGTGTGTGGTCTGGTCAACTTACTTTAGCCACGTTATTGCGACTCATCGCCTGCAAACTCATTTACAGATTAGATCGAATACAGGTGCAAGCTATCCTATATATGCATCGAAATGAAAAATATACTGTATCATCTATATTGAAAAGTTAAAAAATTTAGACGAGTCAACTGGAAGAAAGAAGAAAAAGATGGGGACATGATCAATGGATGTGAAAAAATGGATAAGAAAAATGCCATTACTTCGGCTACAGGCAGTACCAGTGGACATAGCTCCAGTTAACATGAAAAGCCTATAGAGGAGAAATGCAAGAAAGTATTTATTCTTAAGAGCTGCAAATGGCTGAATAGCACACATACTAGCAGAAGTGGTAGGAATCACCTCCATTTACAATTTTAAGATTAAGTAAAATGGAGTACTAAAACATGTGAAGTTACTGTTAGCCTGAAGGTGGGGTCCATATGCCAGATTTCACTCTAGGCACTGATAGTTAAGCATTTAAAGATTTACAATAATATTTAAATACAGTACAGTACTGTATGTAGATTAAGAAACTTGAACCCTAGGTTTAAACTGGAATATGCATGTGTTATGTCGTGTTCTCACCTTAAGAAGTGTACTAATAAACGATACAAATTTTAGACCTCAACAAAATGTAATTTAGAATTAAGAAATTAATCGGTGAAGAAATAATGAAGGCAGTAAATAATGCTGACATTGAATTTTTGGGGAAAGGGGGCGGGGATGAAATATGATAACCATGTTCAAGAATATAAAACAGTATACAGGTATAAAAATACAAACTAAATTTTTATACTATCAGTAGGTAAAGCAAGAGGCTACATTGTAAACTGACTGTAACCTCTTTGCAAATAAGTCATAAAGATTTTTATATGGGGTCAAAGATGAGCCAGAGTTCCTGGGTTTTGTTGAAATATTTAGAATTAAGTAAATAATGAAGATGAGACATCACAAGCATAGCCATTCTTTATACCAAAATATGGCAAGCACACAGACAGTACAAGATAGCACATGCTGAAACCACAAAGTTTTTAAATTACATATGACAAATTGTACATAGGAAGCACCTCAAGCATAGCTTTATTCCTATAAAGTAATCTAACTCACACACCCCACATTCGTTTATTGTTAAGTTTAAGACTACCTGTATAGGTATATTCTTGTCTGTGTGGTGTGTTTGTATGCGATTGTTTTTATTGTGTGTGTGTGTTTATAAGGAGGGAGGGAGGGAGGGAGGGTATGTGTGCATTTGTACATCCATATTTACTCATCAACACTTACTGGTCCACATGTAATTGATGGTTAAGCTAAAATGCATATTTTTATTCATCTTATATATGATAACCTTATTCTTATGGTTTAAATTTAACTGTTGATATCGTCACTGAATACAGTACAAGTATATCAAAACATTGGATTCAATACTTTAAAATCTAATTGTTTAGTAGTTTAAACTTAAGAGCTGAACTGATTGTACAAGTATAAACAGAGATTATGATAAAATAATGTCCTTTCTTTCTCACTCACAGAGATTCAAAGGAACAGAGACTTCTACAAGAACACAGAAGTCCGACCGCCATTCACGTACGCTTCACTAATTAGACAGGTCAGGGGATATATCATATAGTGTATGTGCATAGAGTTAAGTTTGCAGTTTAAAAATGTTAAGAATTTAGTGCTGTGCATTGCAATACAAATTAGTTAATCAGACAGCTATTATATTTTAACTTGAGAGCAAGTTTTGTCTGATATCTCTCTACTTTAACCCTTACATTTTTAATACTGTACCACCATTCGGAGGGCTTTCCTTTATATCTCCCAGAGCTACCTACATGGAGTCCTCCAAACCCAGGAACTACACCAGATTCTTTAAAATCAAGGGTGCCTACCAAAGACCAGTACCAAACTATGACTCTGCTCCCTGTGCTTGTTCCTTTTTTTCACGTACATGTTTTTTTATGCCAACCTGTTGTGTGCGCCTTGAACATTTGTTTGCCAAAGTCCCATTCTCTGGTTATGGGAGGGGGAGGGGGAGGGTACTTCATTTCGATGGGTCCTGGCCTGTTAAGGGCATGTGTTTCATTTCCGCCTTTGGGGCCTGGTGGTAGAGGTGGTCTATAGTTAACTTGTTCTGGGGATCTTCTATATGTGTTGCAGCTCTTGTTCCAGTGGTGGCTTACAGTTTCCCTCACCGTGTTCTTCCATGTCAGGGATTGGCATGGGTTCACGGGACACTTCCCAGCACTTTACTTCCCTGCCAGTCTGTTAATTGTGGGTTGGTAGCTGGGGGGATTTCCTACAGTTCTCATTTCGAGAAATTCTGTGTACTCCCACCCACTCTGAATCTGTTGCAACTTTTGTTTCTGTGAATTTTATGGGTGTTCCTCAGCCTTTGATGTTGGTTTTTGATCACCTGTCTGTCTTGGCCTGCCACTCCTGGGCTGACGAGTTTTCAGTTCTAATATCACCACTTGCAGTTCTGAAATTTGTTAGCTTAATATCCAGAATCACTCCTAGATCTTTTTCCATATCAGAGATTTTTAATATGTTTTCACCTAATTTGTAGGTTAAGTGTGGCCTGTTTTTCCCTACTTCGTATTATGTTGTGACAGTTGTTCATTTTGAATTTCATCTGCTGTGTGTGTGGCTCACCCAATCATTTTGTCTAGGTCATTTTGGAGGGCAGCACAGTAATCCAAGTCCTTCAATCTCCCTAGTAATTTTGCATCATCTGCAAACATATTCATATAACTGTATTACCCCCCCTGGTAGATAATTTATGTAGATAATAAACATAGTTGATGCAAGGACTGAACCTTAAGGTACTCTGCTAGTGACATTTCTCCACTCAGATACATTTCCTCTGATTACTGCTTGCATTTGTGTGTTAAACAAAATTTCCATCTAATTTAGAAGTCTCCCATCACATTGCCAATATGTTCTAACTTCCAGAAGTTTACTAAAATGATGGACACTTCCAGAAGTGTCTGCCCGAAAAGCTATGCATGTTAGTGGCTTTGCATGAATGTAAAAATACCAAGCTTATGTAATCTCACCAACCCATTACGTATACCTTCTTGTAAATAAATTATTATTATTATAATTATTATTATTATTATAATTATTATTATTATTATAATTATTATTATTATTATTATAAATATTATTATTATTATAAGTCTCTCTTTTGTGGGACTCTGATAAAGGCTTTTTTCAAGTCCAGTAGTGCATGCATGTGTATGTAATTGCCTAAGTGTAGTTACAGGATAAGAGCTATGCTCTTTGTGTCCAGTCTTCCCAATACTGTCATATAATGATTTGAAAAACTACCTGTACTGACAGTTTTTGACCTTGACCACTTCTCACTTAGCTTGTTCCAACTGTCTACCACTCTATATGCAAAAGAAAACTGTCTAATAATTTTTGGCACCTTTGTTTCCCTTAGCTTGAACCTGCATCCTCTTGTTGGTGATGTTGCTAGTTTCAGAAATTCCCCTTTGTAAATTTGGGCTGTAAGAGTGTGAACGCCATTACCATAGGGCAGTGTGTCATCAGGTCGATTAAAACCCTGGTTGGGCTACAGTTTGGGGCCTCCAGAACCTCCCAGACAACTCAGTAGAGTTCTGACCTACTGAGAACTCGACTTCTCGAGTTGATCGACATTTTATACCACTGTGGTAAAGTCAGTTAAGGCTGGGGGCCGGGAATCACCAGAACTCAAGTTCAAGTCACTTCATTGTGTCAAAATAATTTTCATTGATATATCAAGCCAATTGTGATTTAATTTTGATTTTCTTATACTGTACTCACCTATTTGTGCTTGCGGGGATTGAGCTTTGTCTCTTTGGTCCTGCCTCTCAACTGTAAATCAACTGGTGTACAGATTCCTGAACTTACTGGGCTCTATCATACTTACATTTGAAACTATGTATGGAGTCAGCCTCCACCACATCACTTCCTAGTGCAATCCACTTGTTAACTACTCTGATACTCTAAAAATTCTTTCTAATGTCTGTGTGGCTCATTTGGGTATTAAGTTTCCACCTGTGTCCCCTTGTTCGTGTTCCACCCATGCTGAAGAGTTTGTCTTTGTCCACCCTGTCAATTCCCCTGAGAATTTTGTAGGTGGTTATCATGTCTCCTCCTTACTCTTCTGTTTTCCAAACGCGAGGTTCAGCTCCTTCAGCCTTTCCTCGTAGCTCATGCCTCTCAGTTCCGGGACAAGTCTGGTGGCATACCACTGAATCTTCTCTAACTTTGTCTTGTGCTTAACTAGATATGGACTCCAGGCTGGAGCTGCATATTCCAGGATTGGTCTGACATAAGTGGTATACAGGGTCCTGAACGATTCCTTACACAAGTTTCTAAAGGCAGTTCTTATGTTGGCCAACCTAGCATATGCCACTGATATCTTTTTGATGTGGGCCTCTGGGGACAGGTTCGGTGTGTATGTGTGTGTGTGTGTATATAATTACCTAAGTGTAGTTACAGGATGAGAGCTACGCTTGTGGTGTCCCATCTTCCCAACACTCTTTGTCATATAACGCTTTGAAACTACTGACGGTTTTGGCCTCCACCACCTTCTCACCTAACTTGTTCCAACAGTCTACCACTCTGTTTGTGAAAGTGAATTTTCTTATATTTCTTTGGCATCTTTGTTTAGTTAGTTTAAATCTATGACCTCTTGTTCTTGAAGTTCCAGGTCTCAGTAATTCTTCCCTATCAATTATATCGATTCCTGTTACTATTTTGTACATAGTGATCATATCACCTCTTTTTCTTCTGTCTCCTAGTTTTGGCATATTTAATGCCTCTAATCTGTCCTTGTAGCTCTTGCCCTTCAGTTCTGGGAGCCACTTAGTGGCATGTCTTTATTTGCACCTTTTCCAGTTTGTTGATGTGCTTCTTAAGATATGGGCACCATACAACCGCTGCATATTCCAGCTTTGGTCTAACAAAAGTCGTGAAAAAAGAATTTGAACTGGTGACCGCGTGAACACCGGGTCCGACCTTGCAGTTTGATCACAACACTTCCTAGTGTGTGCATGCATGCATGCATTATATAAGAAAGTTCAATGGGTTGGTTATATATTACAGATTTTGGTGAGTAATTGGTATAGTCTTACAAAGCCACTACGATGCATAGCATTTTGGGCAACTGAATACAGCATTGGAATATATCTTCAACCCCTGCACTGCACCAGCCAACATATGATCTTAGTATATTATAAGAATCAAAACTCCCATGCATACAAGGGGGGTTCACATTTGCTTTCTCAGGCCTCCAGTAACTATCCCCCATCTTGAAAAAACCCAAAGTCCTTCACTTTCCTCCCATGGCCTTAGTAACGTGGCCTACATCTCCAAGGCCTACATAATGTATCTAAGGTAGCCATGGCCTTAGGAACATGCAGGAGAGCCTTACTACGAGCCACTGGACTTTTAACAACAGCGAGTGAGTACCATTATCTATTTCAGGCAAAATGTGTGCTATGTCCAATTAGAAGATTTAGGCTTATATAGGTGCAGCACAGGAATGTCATTTTAAAAGGTGCGCAGTGCAGGGGTTAAGGAAATGCAAAAAATGGTCAAGTAAATTATGGCAATCAAATAAAGAGTCCAGGAAGCAAAAGAAGGTACACATTGTGAAAATTGGTTTTATGAAAATTGAAATCCAATATTTTTTTGTTGCAGGCTATCATAGAAGCTCCAGATAAGCAGCTGACTCTGAATGAGATATACAATTGGTTCCAAAATACCTTCGCTTACTTCAGACGCAATGCTGCTACATGGAAGGTGTGTATGTTGAAGATGTGGTTGGTGTACCTCGACTGGGCTTCACGTTCTTCCCTTTTTGCACTGCTGTATATTTCTTTTTGGTTGTTTGTATTGAAAACACCTACATACATAGACATACACATACATACATACATACACACACATATGTACATATATATATACATAATAGGAGAAAATAGATCATACACAACCTACAAATGATTTGGAAAGGCATTAAAGAATTCAAAGAAAGAGATTTAAGGGTGGTTCTGGATAATAGTGTGTCACCAGAGGAACACACAAAGAACATTGTGGAAGGAGCATATACTATGCCTTCCAACTTCAGAATCGCTTTTAATTACATGAATGGTGAAATATTAAAGAAACTGTTTAGAACTTTTGTGAGATTAAAATGGGAATATGTGGGTTATATGGTGACCATGTCTCAAGAAGCACATCAATAAACTGGAAAGGGTGCAAATAGAGGCAAATAGAGGCTCTGGAACTGAAAAACAAGAGCTCAAGGAAAGGCTAGAGCATTAAATATTCCAAAGCTAGAAGATAAAAAAAAAAAGAGGCAATATGATCATTACACAAAAAATAGTAACAGGAATCAATGAAATTGGCAAAGAAGCATTCTTGAAACCTGCAACTTCAAGAACAAGAGGTCATAAATGCAGCTAAGAGAAAAAGGTACTAAAACATATTTTGAGAAGTTCTCTTTTTACAGAGTGGTAGAAAGTTGGAACAAGTTAAGTGAGAGGCCATGGAGGCCAAAACTATTAGTAGTTTTAATGCATCCTATGACAAAGAGTACTGGGAAGACAGGACATCCCCAAACGTAGCTCTCATCCCATAACTACACTTAGGTAATTATTCACATATATATATACATGCATATACATATACACACATTATATAGAAATGTGTAAGTATACAGTATTTAGATACAGTATTTGTTTTTTTATTTATTTTCTTTTTTGATTGAAATAATCATTTTTTTCTTGTTGCACTGTATATTTTAATTCTAATACAGTTTGTATTGTATTATATTGACACTTCTTGGTAGGTATTAGTATTGCTATTATTAACAAATGTAAATCAGTAAGAGGAGACAACTAACATAAAATTTCACCTTTCCCTAATCTATTGAATTGAATCAGTTATTTGTGTAGTTATTTTTAAAGTACAGTAATGCATTACCTGAACCTACCTGAGTTTGCATATGGAAAAGCTAGGCTTAATAGTATGTTATGAGAGTCACATATACAGTACAGTACTTTTAGCATACTTTAATTTATTGCAATCACAAGCCTTTTATTAAAAAAAAAAGTTAAACTCTTCAAGTAATGATAGGGTAAGTAACTAATGTGATTTGCTGTCTCTTAATGAATTCTTGATCATGAACAATCAGTTCTAAACTTATTATTGTCACTATCAATGAGAGTAGCATTTCAGATATAGTTTATTAAGTAAATTAAAGTGACAATTATTTCTTAATTGACAATTATTTCATAAAATCTAATTGATCAGCTGTGTGGGCATGCTAGTGGCAGTGGTTGCATATAATATTTGCACCATCTGTTTGCCCATATTAATACTATTACTTTTATCTCCATCGTGGGATCTATTGGAAGTTGTACACAGGCATACACTCCCAGAACCTCGGCCCCTCCACTGCCTGCAGGCACTAAGTCTTTCTCATCACCTGTGTGTTTGTCTGTCCTCGAGTGCCCGCCAGAGATCAGACATGACTTTCAGTTTCCCAGGACACTTTGCTTGTTATTGCTAGCACCAGTAAAGCTCTTTTGAGTTCCCCTTTGAACTGCCGTCTGGCTGATGGCTGCCGCGTCTTGGCGAGTTATGACAGGCCTGATCTCTTTAATTCTCATAGTGTAGTATATTACTTCTTTATTTATGCATTACATTGCATGGTGCCACAGGCAAGTAATGAACATTTGGAAACAAATTTTCTATTTTTTTTATCTTTATTTACGAATATACAGCATGAAAGTGAGTAACATTTTGAAGAATTAATTTGATTGCACTGTAGCCAGTGTAACAATTACAAGTATTATTTTAGGCCAGTAACACTGATTAGCTGCTGCTTTTGGCTGCTCCATAGATCCAGGAATAATCCATTTTATTTTTATTATTTGTCGTTTTGGTTATTAATTTGCTTTGTGCTTACTGTTTTGTGTATTGTTCCGTTTAGAATGCCGTCCGCCACAACCTGTCCCTTCACAAATGTTTCATGCGTGTGGAGAACGTCAAGGGCGCAGTGTGGACAGTGGATGAAGTGGAGTTTTACAAGAGGCGACCCCAGCGCTGCGCCACTGGGTATGTTACCCTTCATAACCTGCACCTTTTCCTGACCATGCCTGCTGCCGCCCCTCCTGGCAAATCCACGCCCTCCGCTCTCTGTTGCTCCTCACAGTCAACATTTACCTGTGTTTTGGTTGAGTGAGAGAGCAGAGGGCGCCCACTGTATGTCTGTCTGCCAGGAGCCTTATTTTATGGGCGTGTAGGTGGGCTTTTCACCTTTTTCTCTAGAGTTTTTCTTGTGCTTTGACTTTTTCTCTCTTTTTTCTCTAATGTCGTTGTTGGTGGTCCAGAATGCGATCCGCACCAACCTCTCGCTGCACAAGTGCTTTGTGCGCTATGAGGACGACTTTGGCTCGTTCTGGATGGTAGACGACGCAGAGTTTGTGAAGCGACGCCACCTGTCTCGCGGCCGCCCCCGGAAATATGAACCCAACACCCCACCACCTCACCAAACCCTCCACCCGGGGATTCCGCCAACCCAAGGGATCCCCATGGCCTTCCATGCGGCATTCCCGCCCCTGTCAGGGCCGCTCCCGCCCCCACAGTAAGCACTGCTCACTGGCTCAGCAGCAAAACTGCCACGGGCGGGCGGGGATTTTCCTTTGTTGTACCTTTAATTTCCCCGGCCGCCCGTAGGCACTCTCGCTCCATCCAGCCACTCACACCCACTCACACCCCTCCTTCCGAATGCTCTTTCCTTCATATACTTCCATAAACACGTGTAGGCCTGATCATCATTTCCTTACTATGATCCAATACTGTATATAACATTTTAGCAGCCAACAATAAATAAATATTTAATCAAATTTTGTTAGTTATCATCAGTACTCAGTGTACCCACTTTTGTAGCTATATAGATTATTAATCCATAAAATTAAAAGATTATAAAGATAATTTAGTCCTTTATATTTATCTATTAGATCTATATAGAACCAGTTAACAAGTGTAATTTGTGAGCAAGACATTTTAATTGGCACCTAGCTTTTTTATGTTGAAAGTTTATTTTTTAGTAAACATAATTAATTTTTTAACTGTACATTTATAAAAGTGTAATTGTGAGTGTGTGTGTTATCACCAACAGTAATTATCTAAGTGTAGTTACAAGAAGAGCTACACTCATGGTGTCTTGTCTTGTCTTTCGTATAATCTTTGTCATATGATGCGTTGAAACAGTGATGGTTTAGGCATCCACTCCCTTCGCTTAAATTGTTCCAGATGTCTACAACTCTGATCGCAAAAGAGAGAGCTTTTGTATATTTTTTCAGCATCTTTGTTTGCTTAGCTTGAATTTATGGCCTCTTGTTCTTGATGTTCCAGATTTAAAAATTCCTCCACTAATTACATAAGTGTAGTTACAGGATGAGAGCTACACTCGTGGTGTCCCGTCTTCACTTCACTCTTTTTGTCATATAACACTTTAAAACTACTAACGGCTTTGGCCTCCACAACCTTCTCACTTAACTTGTTTCAACTATTTATCACTCTGTTAGGGGAAGTGAATTTTCTTATATTACTTCAGCATATTTGTTTAGTTAGCTTAAATCTATGACTTCTTGTTCTTGACATTCCAGGTCTCAAGAATTCTTCCTTATCAATTTTGTCGATTCCTGTTGCTATTTTGTACGCAGTGATCATATAACCTCTTTTTCTTCTATCTTCTATCCTTGACTATTTAATGCCTCTAATCTCTCCTTGTAGCTCTTCTTTTTTTAGTTCCAGTGTACATACGTGTGTGCTTGTACGAGTCTACTACTTGAATATTATACAACACACAAGTACACATCGGTATATGATCCTTTTCTTCACTTTTTTTGATGCTAGATTATATTAATTGCACATAGAATGAGGATATATATATGTATTATATATATACTGTATATATAAAGATAATCAACCAGGGCTGTGAGGTGGGCGCGAACCTATGACCCCAACATTGCCAGTCACATACTCTACCACTGGACCATCGTGACTTGTAAAAGTCATAAAACAGGATTTCTACTGAAATTACAGGAAGTCTGGAGGCCCTTACTGAAGCCAGTCCAAGTTTTTATGTATGACCCACAAGCACTCTGGTGGAAGGGCAAAATGGTCCTAACACCTTACGCCTCAACTTCAGTAACACTTGTGTTTCTGAAGTTGAGGCATGAGGTGTAGTATTAGCATCCCATAGCAATGCTAATAGTGTTTAAATCACTAGTGCTCTCCTGTCTTGAGTACTGCACAGTATTCATTTCCCCTTTTAGAGCAGAAGAAATTTCTGAGAGGGAATACAGGTAACATATACAGCACACACAGACATGATAAAACACCTAAATTATGGGGCCGTCTAAAAGCCCTCAAAATGTTCTCTGGAAAGGAGATGAGAGAGGTATCAAATAATATATACATATTATTTACTGGCAAGATACTGGAAGGCCAGGTCCCAAATTTGCACAGTAGAGTAACAACATACTGAAGCAAAATATATAGAAGGAAATGCAAAATAGAACCAGTGAGAACCAGAACAGATTCAAACAAAAGCATGATTAATGCTAGTATGTTGCTTTCATTTGTTGAATGAAAATTCAGGTTCTTGCCTAACATGTGTAGAAACCCCCCCTGGATATCTCCAGCTGGGAGGCCTCTGTTCTGCCTCATCCACATTCAGGTTTTCTGAATTAGTATTTTAAGAGGCAGCGTATTATTGAAGTTTCCGCCAACTATTTGCCTTTTTCCTAGTTGGGTTTGGGGGCTTTAAAATGGTCATTGTGTAGTTTGTAAACCTTCATATTGCATTCCATAGTAGTTTAGCCAGCAACATTTGAAGTGAATGCTTCTCTCACTATTATATGTCATTAGTTAAAGTGATCCTGATGACCTCAGCCAGGAGTGCCAATTAGCATGTTTAGTTTGCAATTACCTATGTGTAGAGACAGGATAAGACATATACTTATGGTGTCCCAGCTTCCCTATATTCTTTGCCATACAACACTTTGAAACTATTGATGGTTTTGGCATCCACCATCTTCTCACGTAAATTGTTCCAACCCTCTATCACACTGTTCACAAAAAGAGAACGTGTGTATACTTTTTTGGCACCTTTGTTTCCTATGCTTGAATTTATGGTTGCTTGTTTTTGAAGTTTCAGGTTTCAAAACTTCATCATGTATGTGTGTGCTTGCAATTACCTATCTTGAAGTTATTTTGAGATGATTTCGGGGCTTAGTGTCCCCACAGCCCGATCCTTGACCAGGCCTCCTTTTTTGTTACACACCCCCCAGGAAGCAGCCCGTAGCAGCTGTCTAACTCCCCGGTACCTATTTACTGCTAGGTAACAGGGGCATCAGGATGAAAGAAAACCCTGCTCAATTGTTTCCGCCTCCACCAGGGATCGAACCCAGAACCTCAGAACTATGAATCCGAAGCGTTGTCCACTCAGCTATCAGGCCCCTTTCAGCTGTCAGTAACTACACTTAAGTGTATTTACAGAATGAAGGCTACACAAGTAGTGTCCTGTCTTCCCAGTAATCTTTGTCATATGACACTTTGAAACTACTGGTGGTTTTGGCCTTCACCGCCTTCTCACTTAACTTGTTCCAACCGTCTACAAATTGGTGTGCAAGTTTGTGTGCAAGACGTTAAACATGACATGACAGGGATACTTGCTCACTGAATACAGTACATGTCCCTATTTTCATTGCCAGTAATCTGACTTAATAATGCCCTTAATTAATTTCACTTTAATTATCTTATGTTACTCCTAGCTTGATAGCCTCTTAAGTGGGATAATAACAAACACTGCTGTTCTTAGGTAGTCTTGTGTACAGGCATTTCTCTTTCTCAGATCAGCCAATTTATTTGTTAAATTTAAATGAATATACTCAGTGCAGCTCATTAGGTCAGCAATACAATACACACATTACCTTCTCTGTCTCTTGATCCTCTGCCAAATTTCCCTTGCTTGTTTTTTGACATTTTTAAATAATAATTTTATGACTAAAATGATTAAGGTTTTACATCAAAATCTTGTTCTATCCAAGTGATGCTAATGTATTGATACAACATTTAAGAATGCAATAATGAAAATTAGTTATGGAGTCTTTTTTGTTTATCCTAAGTTTTATAATATACATGATTATTGATTTTTTTTTTTTCAAAGCGCTCCCACTAATCTGAAAATTAAATCCTTTCATTTTCATTTCTTATTTATGTTGAATTCTTTTGAATATTCAATTTACTTGATTGTTTGCTACTCCTTTTCTTATACTGAGCCAAAAAATTATAGACTATAAGGTATAAACACCCAGACGTGTTACACTGAGATGCAGAGAACAGTTATAATTCATATTAACTTCATAAATCACAGCATTATCAGCTATAGTATTAATTTGCATTCATGTTAACTTCTGACCGTTTGGGTGTTGAAAGTAGATGTAGATATTAACCCTCATCTACCAACTTAACCAGCGAAGGACAGCGCCATTCTTCATTAACTGCAAGTATCTTTTCCTATCTCTTTTTTAATCTTTTCAATCTCTTTTTTGCATTTTACTATTTAAATCTCTTTATGCCTTTTTCTTAGTGGAATGCTCACAAGTCGTCGCTTTTCAGATGTTTTTAATCTACCTTTAAAAATCATATCGGTGTTGTGCCATTTCCAATAATTCTTGATGTCCTGCACTTTCATTTATCTTTTAATGCTTGTAATCTCTTCACATTAATTAGCTTCCAATAGTCAATTTTATCTCTCTTTTTTTTAACTTAAGTCTCAGCAGTCGGGTGTTAAGCTCCAGTAAAGGTAAGTTGAATATTAATTATTAATATATATTAGGGAGTATATCAGATATGAATAATATGACATCAACAAGTCACTGATATTTGAAGACAGTGTAGAAAATGTTTAAAAGTAAGTATTGCATGGTAAGTGTGTAAGCAGCAGCAGTAAACAGTGTTGTTTTTAATTAACTTTCCATAATATTCAAATTTATTTGCATGTATTTTCAAATTCTTAGTGTTTCATTATAGTACAATATAATAATAAATTATATATCATACTGAATTGACATATTTTACATCTCTTGCAGAAATTGTGCATTTGCTCTATTTATATGATTAATGTAAATAAAATACACACATAATTATGTAAATTAGCTGTTTATTCAAGTTGGTATGAATTTTTGACCACTATTGTATTTCAGGGGTGTGGCGAGCAAGAGTCCGACACTAACTGGGAGCCCCACTCTCTACGGCGAGGCCCTTAATGCTAGCCTTCAGGTACCTGTTCACTATATTTGGAAAAAATGCATGCCAATTCTTTATATAAATTAGTATATTATTTGCAAAAAAGGCTGGCTTTAGTCGTTCATGGGCAGAATGAATGACCAATTTATCCCTCAGAGTGCGGCTATCATAGAAACTGCCACCTCATCAATGTGCAAAACAAACAATTCTTAATGAATGATACATTTGCATGCAAAAATTAAGGGGGGAGGGACAATACTTACCTTTTTTCTGGTTTGGTGAGCTGTAGAAAGTTCTATGGTGGATGAATCAGTGTATTTTTCAATGCCAGACACAAGGTTTGCTGACAAGGTGGTACAGGAAAGGGGAACTCATTTGTTCACCTTGAATATTTTGATGTTCATTGCTTAATTCATTAGTTTAAATAATGTAGTGTTTGAGTTGAATGACTCAATGTATACACACATAATTGGCAAAAACAGTAATACAGTACTGTGTATCTTCCAATCCATTCCTTTGCTGAAATTCTTTCGGGGATCAAATGACATGGCATTAAATTCAGCTACAAAGGAAATTAGATTAGCCATAATAAACTATGAAAGAAAATTTGCTCAGAACATCAAAAAAGATCCCAGGTATGGGACTCTTAATGCTTGTACAAGGAGTAAAATCAGAACAAAACATCTGTGGTAAGGTGGGAAGAGAAAAGACAAGAGTCCTTGCAAAGAGAGCTACATGGAGCCAGAAAAGTGGCAAATGCCTTTAAATATTGAAAAAGGCAAGGCCTTGCACATCATTACTAACATATCAACAACATGACCGTGTAAGCAGATTGATAAAGAAAAGTACATAGGATTGTGATCCACCAGTTATTGAAAGTTCAGCAAGTACCCATGTAGAATTTATATAGCCATATTAATATAATTGGTTTACAAACCATGCACAGTAATAATGTACAGTATTCAAATAATGATAACTATTCACATAAGAAGCAATTACAAAACTTATAGCAGAATATTTTTCATGTATCTTGGCCAACTCCATCATATCTATATAGGGCTATTATAATAATACAGGGGTACCTCGGTTTAAGAATTTAATCCGTTCCTGGAGACGGTTTGTAACCCAAAAATTCGTAAACTGAAGCGAATTTCCCCATAAGAAATAATGGGAAATTAATCAGTTCCTGACTCCCCAAAAACTTCACTTCAAAGTAAATTTTATACCTAATTCACCCAAATCTACACTAAAAAAGTATGTTCAAGTTATTACTTACCCTTGCTGATGACTCCTGTTGGCGTATGGAAGATGGTGAAGAGGGGGAAGGAGGAGAGGTATTTTTGTTTGGAAGGGGAGTCCCCTTCCATGATAACATCAGGCAGTGAAGATTTTCTGGAGTGCACTCTCTTGCTCGTTTTGCCTGCATACCGCTAGGTCCTGGTTGTGGCTCACTGCTTGATATTCTCACAAGGAAATGTTGCATTGAAGATTGTTTTTTCCTTCTTTGCAACACTTGTCTGTAGTGAGGCATCACATTGTCACTGAAAAGATTAAGGCAACAGCCTACTACAGCTTTCTCTGGGTGAGTCGTTTCAATAAAAGTTTGCATTTCTTCCCACATCTTACACCACTTCCTAATTGTTGCGGAAGGGACATTCTCTACTGCCTCATCCTCCTCTGAAGAAATATCCTCAGCTGCCTCTTGTTGCTGCTCCTTTTGAAGGGCTTGGAGTTCTTCAGTGGTCAGTTCTTCGTTGTGTTCTTCCACCAACTTCTCCACATCAGCACCATCCAATTCCAAGCCCATTTTCTGGCCCAGAGTAACAATTTCCTCAACAATAGGCACTTCATTTACAGGCTCAAACCCCTCAAAGTCTAGTTCTGATACACATTCAGGCCACAATTTTCTCCAGCCAGAGATCAGGGCTCTTTGAGTCACTTCTTGCCAGGCTTTGTCAACGAGTTTTAATGCACTACAAATGTTAAAATGGTTTTTCCAGAACTCTTTGAGGGTGAGGTTTGTGGCATTGGTCACTTCAAAGCATTTCTGGAAAAGTGCCCTTTCATACAGTTTCTTAAAATTCGCTATGATTTTCTAGTCCATAGGCTGAATTAGAGGAGTGGTGTTAGGAGGAAGGAACTTTATTGTGAGAAAATTAAATCTGTTCAACAATGCATCTTCCAAGCCTGGAGGATGAACAGGAGCATTGTCGAGGAGAAGCAGGGCCTTGAGTGGCAAACTTTTCTCCTGCAGATATTTTTGTATGGCAGGGCACACCACATCATTCACCCGCTCCGTAAAAAAAATCCTAGTCACCCATGCCTTATTATTAGCCCTCCTCATCACACACATTTGGTTTTTCTGCACATCATACTTTTTGAAAACCCTTGGATTTTCAGAATGATACACAAGCAAGGGTTTAATTTTCAAGTCACCACTCGCATTTCCACACAGCACAAGTGTAAACCTATCTTTCATAGGCTTGTCTCCGGGCAATGATTTCTCCTCCTTGGTAATGTATGTCCTCTTAGGCAATCTTTTCCAGAACAGTCCTGTCTCATCACAATTAAACATTTGTTGCAGTAGGTATCCCTCAGCCTCTACAAAATCTTTAAATTCTTCAATAAATCTTTCAGCCGCTGGTTTGTCTGAGCTGGCAGCCTCCCCATGCCTTACAACACTATGAATACCACTTTTTTTTTTAAATTCTTCAAACCATCCCCTGCTTGCCTTAAAGTCTTTTGTATCTGCACTCGTTCCAGGGGTTTTCTTTGCAAGATCTTTGTGCAATACCCTGGCTTTCTCACAACTGATGACCTCTGAAACACTATCACCTGCTAACTCCTTGATGTGTATCCAAATTAATAACAACTTTTCCACATCCTCAAGTATTTGTGTTCTTTGCTTCGTGATTGTTGATACGCCCTTTGCCACTTTAGCATTCAAAATGTCCTTTTTCTTGGCAAGTACAGTGCATATCGTTGACATGGATTTGTTGTACTGCCTAGCTAGTTTAACAACATGAGTACCATTTTTATGCTTACGAATGATCTCTTGTTTTTCCTCTATGGTCATTCTCACATGTGATTTCTTGCCTTGAACTTTATCACCGGCTTTCTTGGGACCCATGGCGAGATATATAATAACAAATTTTATGCTCAAATAGCAAAAATGGTCTCCAACAAATACGATAAGTGCAATATTTTACATGTTTATAGCAGTGCTTCCCCTTTTCTTTATGAGTTAGAGATAGGAATTTGTGGAAATAAGGATTTTGGAACCTTGTGTGTAGGGAGAGTGGTGTGTTGTTAATTCAGGTGTATGTGCTCAGCTGTGTGTCACATGGGGGTTATCCACATTTATTTTGTACTGTATATCCATTTGTGTATTGTGGTCAGAGTAGTGTATTGTTAAAACCCAGACCCTTTGTAGTGACCTATGAGGAGTGGAATAGAGTATTGACCTTAAGTCCCAGGTTGTAGAGGGACAGGAACCTCCCCCCCCTTTGTCTGTAGTGTATTAATCCTGTGGTAGATCCAAGTACCACCCCCCCCCCCCTGTTCTAACCAGTGTGAGGAAATCAGGTATTTGTTAAATAAAAACCCTTTTTGTAAAATTGTACCCAAGGTGTATTTCTTGTCCTATACAACAATACAATACAATACAATACAATTTTATTTAGGTAAGGTACATACATACAATAAATATTTACAAGGATTGTTTAACTTATAGGTATAGCTAGTACATACAATGCCTAAAGCCACTATTACGCAAAGCGTTTCGGGCATGTAGTTAGAACTGGTGATTATTACTATATAGATCCCTGCACTTCCATTATTTATAAGAAAGTAAGAGGGGGTGTTGTTAGCGATACTTTAGGGTACGGCTTTCAATCCCGTACCTTACAACAGGGGTGTTTGTAAACCGAGGTACCACTGTACTAACATCATTGGTATAATAACCGAGCAATAATAAAGATAATTGTCATGTAACAGTGACCTAGGAGAGCAACAAATTGGCAAAAACAGTGACTACTGCACTTTGAGGGTTAAGGAAGCCCTGGTCAAGTTTTCTGCTCATGATTCATTACACTCACCTTATTTGCAATGTAATATATTTTGGCCACAGTTCACACCCTTAGCACCCTCATCAAACTAGTGTTTTCTCATTACAATACTCTGCCATGTGCCATTCAAATATTTCTTGCTTCTGCCTTTGTTTGTTGTGACCCAAGCACTTGGGCTGGACAGTAGAGCGACGATCTCGCTTCATGCAGGTCGGCGTTCAATCCCCGACCGTCCAAGTGGTTGGGCACCATTCCTTTCCCCAGTCCCATCCAAAATCCTTATCCACATCCCTTCCTAGTGCTATATAGTCGTAATGGCTTGTCACTTTCTCCTGATAGTTCCCTTCCCCTTTGATTGTTGTGATAGCCTAGCCAATGTGCAGAATTTGCAATAAAATCTTCTACACTTAAATATGATGTACTGTGATTAAATTGTTAAAAGAATCTTCATTCTCTAATTTCCACTCTTGTGGACATGGGGGAAAACTGCAAGAGATATACACAATAGTGTTTTTCAACGAATATAAATTACAAACTTCAGACTGAAACAAGTTAATATAATTTTAATACTGTATACCGTAGTTAAACAAAATTCATGCTAAACAATTAAACATGTTGTCATACTTTAAAGTTTGGAAGAATTAACTCAAGTTTATGCATTTGACAGGCTGCCTTGGCAGACTCTAACCTACCAATGCTGAACACTGCCTTCAGTATCTCCTCCAGCATGGACAAGAGTGGCTCTCCCCCTGTCTCCTATCATGAGAGTATGGTACACCATGATGAGGGAGACGAACCACCACACAGAGAACGCGATGATGAGCAGGACGAACCCTACCCATCACAGCTTGTCAAGCAGGAGATGACTGAAGAAGAAACTCCAATGGAAACCCAAAGGGACTGTGAGGAAGAAGCACATCCTGCTTCACCTATGTCACATTATCGTCATTACTCGGGGATAGATGAAGACCGACCTCAGTCTCGCAGCCCTGTACCGCCAAGTCCTGTATCCCAACCTCCTCCACCTCCTGTGTCTCACGCAGTGTCCCATGTGCCAACATCACTTGGCCTTCCCCCACCCTTACAGTTACTGCATGAGGCACACATGCGACAAGGACCTCCTCTAGAAGGCTAGTGATGTAGGGAGTGAAAACTGATCTTTGTATACCTCCAAGTGAATTAACGCTTGAAAAAACTTACTTTTCATACTGCCATCTTCCTCTGACCAGTCAGCAAGTGGAGGCTGGCTATAAAATGAGACGTGCATCCAGATATTGGATCATATTTTAACTGATATCTCTTATTTAGATACTGTAATACATTATCTGAATTTCTTAAACGTTGAAGCACTGGCTTGTGCATGTGACACAGGGAAACCTGTAGGAAAGAATGGAAGAATTTGTTATTTTTGCACTGATGGAATTAGACTTTCTATTAGACTAATTGTTTCATATCAGACTAGTCTTACCTAAGGCACTATCATCAGTCATATGGCACAAGTGTGTATATTCTCGGTGATGGACAGACATTGTTTTGTACAGACGGTTTAGACAAGGATGTGATCGCTTACTATAGTAAGTGTAGAGTTACAGGACTACAGTGCAGGCAGAGATAGTGATACTCTAGCCTCACTTAGTGTAGCATAGCCTAAGGCTACAGATGGTACAGCAGCCACCTGTATACCATTCCTAGATGGGTCTTAAAGATCCTACTGTGCTTTTCTAGCCCCTGTTCCCTGTCAACCTTAGCCCAGTAGATAGTTCATATGCTTGCTTCTCTGGTAAGCTCAGTCAAGATAATGATTACAATTCTTGACTGATTAGGACTAGGCACTGAATTTTATGTACTAATGTAGAGACACCTATCAAAAAATGTAAGAATTTTACAAGTGCCATATTGAATTTTATGTGAGCTTATATTATTTTAACCAGTGAAATTTGATCTCAATCTAATATGATAGCTCTTCCATGACAATAACATAACCCGAGAAGGGGTGCAATCATTGGTGCATCTCATAACTCAGCTAAGTTAGTTGTCAAGTTACTGTATATTTTCTCCTACAAATTTGACAAGCTTAGCAATGATATTGCTAAGATTATAAGACATGAGTAATATTTTATTGTACACATCATTTGGGAGTGTGCTTTTTCACCTACTGAAGGATATAAAATCATTTCTGTTCACTTTCATTGTAAGTGCACAAATTTTTCCAATGCAATAGTCCTGTACCTCAAACAAACCCACCTATTTACACTATTTATTTGTTATTTATATTGTAGAATAAGTGGGGTTAGGACAGCACAGAAAAGAGAGATCCTTAGTAGTGTAGAAATTTAGTATAAATTTAGAATTAAAAAGCCATCCCAAACCTAGTAAAATGGGAGAGATGTGATTGCTGTTGTAGTCTGAATTTTGTTGGGGGTTCAGTTCTTATAAAGAACTACAGTCATTAATGTTCAAAATTTTCAGTAAAACAGCAAGTTATTTATTGTTTGCTTTCCAAAAGAGCCAATATGTATATGACAAAAAAATTCTTAGATTTATTTAAATTGTCCCAGCTAATGTATAAAGCCAAATTCCAAAAGTGTTTATGCCCTAAGTAAATACTGAATAAAAGGGAAGTTCATGAAGCTCAGCTGAAGTTTTGGTGTGGACAGCACTTTAGTATTGTCCCTTTTTAATTAATAGTTATGGTATGATGAGGTTTTCATAAAGTCTCAAGAAATTATAAAAAAAATTGCAATAACTAGGATGGTCTCAAAACTTTATACACCTTCTCCAAAGTACATTCACTGGGCTTGGTTAGTAGGAACTGCATAGAATGGACCACTGTAGTAGAAAGCATTGTTTAAAATGCTACTTATGATACATACTCAAGCCTATGTATTGCATTACCATTGTAGGTTAGCCTTGCTGTGTTAGGAAGTCAGGACTATGGTGGGGTACTTTCCATTATAATTTGTTCACATTTATTTATCAGTATTGTTTATCATTGTACATTAATACTCTCTGTATGTTTGTTCTGTGTTGTGGAAGTATCTCCAGATTTTTTTTGGTTGTATATTAACTTCCCAACCAGTAGCTGCAGAATAGGACCATAAATAAAGCCCCATTGTAGTTCTGTTTCCTAAATTGCCATATGTCCCTGTTGGTTGCAAGTCACAAGGTAGTAGATGAGCTTCTAGTAGAACATTCCCTTTGGGCAAGGTGAAGCCCAATCCCTGAGCAATAACTGTCTATTGTATGACTGTATTATCATGAACAAACATCCCTCCCTGTCTCCCATTTGCAATCTCCAACTGCTGTCACTGACTGACTCTCTGTAAGACAGTTTATTACGAGTACTTTTGAGGTACTGAAGCTTCTGAATATACATGTGATCATGTCCTGAAGCAGAAAAGATCATCTTGACTTGCAGAGAATCAGATGTGAGCACAGACGAGGCCCAATATCCACAGACCACAGTTCAATTTTGGAATATGATAAAACATCTAATTAAAGAATTATATTGGTAAAACTGCTTATTATATAACACATTAAACCATAAAAATTCAGGAAATGGCTGAATATAGCTTTGATAAAACACACAAGAATTGAGCAATTGAAATTTTATTATAAAAGTTTCAATTGTCCTTAATTTCCACTTATCCTTCAAATCTAAAGATACTTTTTTTGTGGGGGGGGAAGGGTCTGCTTGCATTGAGGGCCTCATGTACATAGAATTTCATGTGTGACATTCAACTATTTCAAGTAATAGGAAGTCGTTCATACAAGCAAATGATTTTATTAAAATAAAAATTTACTTGTTGAACAACTAAGTCTTGATATAGTGGTCGTGTAACAGATATAAGCCGGGTCAGAGGACTGGTCACGTACAAGTGTACAGAATTTTTAAGTTACAGGTGTTGCAGCCAATGTTTTGTTCATACTGTAAATTCAACAAGGATCACACACACACACACACTTATGTGTGCCAACTCAGTAATCTTATACAGATTTAGTCCAGAGACCTATAGAAGGAAAAAATGTCCTCAACTCTATATTTATATGGCAAGTGCTTTGTATGCCAGGCATGTTCATCAATGAAGAAAATGACTGTTTTGATATTCACTGCATAAGTGACACTGTTTGTCATTTATAACCTCATTCCTCACAATACAAAAATGCAAGGTCTTCATTTTTTCAATGTTTACATCTTCAAATCATGGAGACAATGTAGTTACAGTTACGAGTTGTGGCGCTGTTTGGCAATTAATACATGGTCATGTTTTTAAAGCATCAACCACAGATTTAATGTATAAAGTATGAAGCCATTTCAGGTCCCCCATAGTGTATTTTTTTGTAAGATCTGAATTAATTGAGACTTTTATTTAACTTCAAAACTGCCTTTAATTTATGAACTCCCATTTTAATCATTATTGTTCTTTGTCAAATTGCTTGCCAGTTCCTAATTGTTATATATTATGAAATTAGCAAAAAGGGAGTCACACATTTTGTCCATATATTTGTAGCAACCAAACTCAACTGGTGCTGCATGTACAGGAGCTTTAAGTTTGATGGCAGCAGGATAAGATTTTAGCAAATGTTTTGGTAGCAAATTTATTCCCGGAAGACTGGTCTGATTTTAAAGTTTTCTTGAACAAGTAAGAGCTTTATTAGGTAACTAATAAAGCTTTATTAAAAGCACCATGCCTCCAGTAAAGTTTTAAATTATTTTCTTTCTTTACTAAAATCCAGAAATGTGCACCATTTTTGTTTTATGTCAAAATATTATGGATATTTTTCTTCACAGCTCCTGAAATACAAATAGGAAAGCCAAGACCAATATGTGATACTATAAGTAATTTTGTCCAAAAGTGTTGGTCTCAGTGGAGTATCTGTCTGCAAATGTAGTTTATTTCAGTGATAAGTTGAAACACTGTACACCCCACATGTAAAGCCCTACAGAGCAAGTAAAGTCATTAGAGTATTTCTTCACTTTATTTTTTTTAACCCTTTAATGCATAAGTTACCATTTTATCACTGAAAATGTACATTGTTAAACAAATATACCACATTACACACTAGCATATATAATATTACACAAGGTTATACTGCTGCACCACATTAGTCAATCCTGACATGAAATGAAATGCCAATCCTATGCTTTTTTCTTGTAAATCAAGTACAGGTAATTGGCAGTTATTGTTTCTTTTTTTTCATATGGCTTTGCTAAACATTTATCAAGAACGTTAGCATTTGTGAATGCTTGCCACCACCAATTGCAGCAACATTCTGATAGTCTTGAATTATTTTCATTTCCTTGCTACTAGTCTAGCTTTCTTGCCAAATTTCATCTATTTCCTAATATGTTAAATTGCAAACATTTCATTATATATATATATATATATATATATATATATAGTAGGCTGAGAAGTGCGTTCTGGCTACTAGGTCGTACCTAGTAGCCAGAACGCACTTTTCAGCCTACTATGCAAGGCCCGTTTTGCCTAATAAGCCAAGTTTTCCTGAATTAATATATTTTCTCTAATTTTTTTCTTATGAAATGATAAAGCTACTCATTTCATTATGTATGAGGTCAATTTTTTTTTATTGGAGGTAAAATTAACGTAGATATATGACCGAACCTAACCATCCCTACCTAACCTAACCTAACCTATCTTTATAGAACCTAACCATCCCTACCTAACCTAACCTAACCTATCTTAGGTTCGGTTAGGTAGCCGAAAAAGTTAGGTTAGGTTAGGTTAGGTAGGTTAGGTACTCGAAAAACAATTAATTCATGAAAACTTGGCTTATTAGGCAAATTGGGCCTTGCATAGTAGGCAGAGAAGTGCGTTCTGGCTACTAGGTACGACATATATATATATATGTATATATGTATATGTATATATGTATGTATGTATGTATGTATGTATGTATGTGTATGTATGTATGTATGTGTTCACCTAGTTGTGTTTGCGGGGGTTGAGCTCTGCTCTTTCGGCCTGCCTCTGAACCGTCAATCAACTGTTTACTACTTCTTTTTTTTTCCCCACACCCCACACACATCCCAAGAAGCAGCCCGTGACAGCTGACTAACTCCCAGGTACCTATTTACTGCTAGGTAACAGGGGCATTCAGGGTGAAAGAAACTTTGCCCATTTATTTCTGCCTGGTGCGGGAGTCGAACACGCGCCACCGAATTACGAGTCCTGCGCGCTATCCACCAAGCTACCAGGCCGTAGCCTGGTGTGTGTAATTACTTGTAATTACCTAAGTGTAGTTACAGGATGAGAGCTACGCTCGTGGTGTCCCGTCTTCCCAGCACTCTTTGTCATATAACGCTTTGAAGCCACTGACGGTCTTGGCCTCCACCACCTTCTCACGCAACTTGTTCCAACCATCTACAACTCTGCTTGCGAAAGTGAATTTTCTTATATTTCTTCGGTATTTTTGTTTAGCTAGTTTAAATCTATGACCAGGTCTTTAAATCTATGACCAGGATTGAAGTTCCAGGTCTCAGGAAATCTTCCCTATTGATTTTATCAATTCCTGTTACTATTTTGTATGTGGTGATCATATCACCTCTTTTTCTTATGTCTTCTAGTTTTGGCATATTTAATGCCTCTAACCTCTTCTCTAATGCCTCTAACCTCTCCTCGTAGCTCTTACCCTTCAGTTCTGGGAGTCACTAAGTAGCATGTCTTTACACCTTTTCCAGATTATTGATGTGCTTCTTAAGATATAGGCACCACACAACTGCTGCATATTCTAGCTTTGGAATAACAAAAGTCGTAAACAATTTCTTTAGTATATCCCCATCCATGTATTTGAAAGCAATTCTGAAGTTAGAAAGCGTGGCATAGGCTCCTCGCACAACGTTCTTTATGTGGTCCTCAGGTGATAGTTCTCTATCTAGAACCACCCCTAGATCTCTTTTTTTTTTTTTTATCAGAATTCTTTAAAGATTTCTCACATAATATATAGGTTGTGTGGGGTCTATTCTCCTATTCCACATTCCATAACATGGCATTTATTAACATTAAATTCCATTTGCCAAGTGGTGGTCTATATACTTATTTTGTCCAGGTCATCTTGAAGGGCATGACAATCATGTAAGTTTCTTATCCTTCCTATTATCTTAGCATCATCAGCAAACATGTTCATATAATTCTGTATACCAACTGGTAGATCATTTATGTAGACAATAAACATCACTGGTGCAAGAACTGAACCCTGTGGTACTCCACTTGTGACATTTCTCCAGTCCGATACATTCCCTCTGATTACTGCCCTCATTTTTCTATCAGTCAGAAAAATGTTCATCCATGTTAGAAGCTTACCTGTCACCCCTCCAATATTTTCTAGTTTCCAGAACAACCTCTTATGTGGAACTCTGTCAAAAGCCCTTTTTTAGGTCCAGATAAACAGTCAACCCAACCATCTCTTTCCTGGAAAAAATCTCTATCATAAAAACTAAGTAGATTTGTTACACTGGAGCTTCCTTTTCAAAAACCATACCCTCTGTTATGTTGTCATTACTCTCCAGGGGTTCTGCCCATTTAGTTTAAACCATTTTTTCCAAGTGATCTGACTACCATGCTTGTTAATGATGCAGGTCTATAATTTAGAGTGTCTTCTCTGCTACCATTTTTGTAAATTGGAACTATGTTTGCTTGTTTCCATATAGTGTACTGCTAAGTCTTTCTGCTAAAATTTCTATGCACGAAGATGACTGGAATATCAATTGAAGTGGAATGCTCAGCTCAGTTGCACATTCTCTCAGCACCCAAAGTGAAACTTCCTCTGGTCCAACTGCCTTATTTCTTCCTAGCCCCTAGAATATATTTTTCACTTCGCCTCGAGACACCTCTAGGTACTGTATTGTGTTTTCTGTAATTGGCATTGTGTCTGGTTCTCTGTAAACCTTATTTTACACAAACACACTTTGGAACTATTCATTTAGTGTTTGCACATTTCTTTTTCATATTGTGAATCTGTTCCCCATTCTCAATATCTGGATTTTATCCTTTACATGCAACTTGCTTTTAAGGAATTTATAGAAAAGGCTTGGATCTGTTTTAATTTGCCCGCTACCTTTTTCTCGGAGTTCCTTTCTGCCTCTCCTCACTGCTGTGTAATTTACATCTTGCTTGTTAGTAGTACTGGTATGTTTGAGGGTTGGGCCTTTTCCTATATTGTACCAATTTTCTTGTCTTTTCTTCTTTGGCCCCTCTCACAATTTCTGTTAAACCAATCCTGTTTTCTGGTTCTGCATGATGACCAAACCCCACATCAGAAAATGAAGAAGCAACTACATTTCAGTCTATTATCAAGTCATGCAGTGGTTCAGGACAGACCGAAGCTTCGTCTTTTTCTTCATTTTCTGATGTGTGGTTTGATCATACATCAACCACATTATTGTGACTCCTCATTTGCATGGGGTTTTGCATCTCTGTTTTGGTATAAATTTGTTTGTCTTCATTGAATATTTCACAGAATTGGTAATACACCTCATTTACTTCCTCATCTAGCAACAAGTCTTTCCAATTAAATTCATTCAAGAATTTGAAAAGTTCCTCAGAGTGTCCTCTCTTGAAATCAAGTTTATCAACTATCAATTTCCTTATTTTCTTCTTGATTATATTACATAGCATATTTAATTTCCAACAGAACATGAACACACTTTCCCGCAGGAGAAAGGTGTATACTGTATGTGTTTATATATGGAAGGTACTAACTGCAAAAATATCTCTTCTTTTTTTTTTCCTGGTGAATATTAAATCTAGTATTGACAGAACATCTCCTCCCCTCATTCTTGTAATTATTACCCAAGTGTAATTACCTAAGTGTAGTTACAGGATGAGAGCTACACTCGTGGTGTCCTGTCCTCCAGCACTCTTTGTCATATAACGCTTTGAAATTACTGACGGTTTTGCCCTTCCCCACTTTCTCACCTAACTTTTTCCAACCGTCTACCACTCTGTTTACAAAAAAGATTTTTCTTACATTTCTCTGCCAGCTTTGTTTCGTTATTTCAAATCTATGACCTCTTGTTCTTGAAGTTCCGGGTCTCAGGAATTCTTCCCTATCAATTTTATCAATTCCTGTTACTATTTTGTGCGTAGTGATCATATCTCCTCTTTTTCTTCTATGGTTTTGAATATGGCCTGCATGGTTTTGCAGGCCATGCATGCATTCATGACCTTCATATGGTTTTGAATATGGTTTTTCTTGTGGCCTGCTTGATGTGTAACCGAGGCGAGAGAACCACGTTCACAGCTCTGTGTCCGGGTTCTCTTTCTATCTACTGCAAACCCATGCATAGTGGCATGTACATTCACTACTTTTCCAACCATCCTCCTTCTGTTAAGAAAAGTGTCCTCATCTCTCTCTTCCTCTGCGCTCTACACATCAGCGACCCTCAATTTCTTGATTCTGAAATTGCCTTTATCTACAAATCATTCTCTCGCCTTGGTTACCCTTTGCATTTTATCAACTGTGCCTATTTTCAAGCTAAACAATTTTTTTCATCCTAAACCTGCTTCCAACACTAGTAGCACTGTGCTCTGCCTTCCCTTCATATCTGAACTCAAAACTTTTACTAATACCTTTCGTCCTCTTTGACATTAAGCTCGCCTTTCGACAAACAAACACACTTCGTAGCAATTTAGTTCACACTGCACCTCCTGCTTCTAATGCTGCTGGTGTTTACTCTATTTCCTGTTTGTCTTGTCCTCTCCAATACTTTGGTGAAACTGGGCATACACTTAATGATAGACTTAAAGAACACAAAAGAAATGTTAAGTCTGCAGACACAAACAATGCTCTCTTCTGTCATGTTAGGGATTCTAATCATCCTACTGATTGGTCTTCCTCCAAAATAATCTTTCCTGTCTCTATTCTACACAGACGCCGTCTTGTTGAATCTACTCTAATACACAATGTATCCACCATGGACTTGAGTCCCGGCTTTATTGCTGTTGACTCTTCCCTTTCGCAGTATATACTTAAATGCTCTAAACTTTCTAACAAACGAGACCTAACATAAGCTTACCCTTCCATTTATCTTTCTTTCTCTTTCCTTCTTTCTTTTTCTTTCCCTTGTTTTCTCTTATGATCCCTTTCTTATTCCTATCACTATCCCCTTCTTATTCCTATTACTATCCCCTTTATTACATCTTACCTTTTGTACCTTTGGCCTTGCTTTTTCTTCCTCTAAGATTTTCTTCTCCTCACCTCTCTCCTGCCTATTTATTGCCCTTGACTCCTTCCCTCATCACAATCAACTTGAGAATTGAAATTGAAATTGAAATAAGTTTATTGAGGTAAAATACACACAAAGGGATGAGGTAGCTCAAGCTATTCTCACCCCATTCAGTACATCGTGTTAATACATACATAGACACACATCACAAACAATAAACATATTACCAAACTTTCTAAGAGATAAACATCTACATTTCCTCCTTTACACAAGTACCCCCGGTGTGTGTACTCTCCTATTTGTGCCTGCAGGATCGAGCTCTTGGACTCTGCCTTTCTAGATACCAGTTGTTCAATGCAATGAGTCCTGCCCTATTTCCCTATCATATACAATACAATACAATACAATACAATACAATTTTATTTAGGTAAGGTACATACATACAATAAATATTTACAAGGATTGTTTAACTTATAGGTATAGCTAGTACATACAATGCCTAAAGCCACTATTACGCAAAGCGTTTCGGGCATGATAAACTTAAATGACAAGCTTAATACTAATTGAGCATAATGAGTAGAATGAAAACAAGAAATGAAAACATAGATGAAAAAGCAGCACAAATACAATTATGTCGACAAACAGCGCTCTTTAAAGAAAAAAACAGACATTGGTTGACAATAGAAGGGTAAGGTAGGTTACAGGGAATTTATTAGGTATAGCTTCGCTTTTAACTTAAACTGGTTGAGAGAGGTACAGTCTTTAACATGGTTGGGAAGGTCATTCCACATTCTGGGCCCCTTGATTTGTAGAGCATTTCTAGTTTGATTAAGTCGTACTCTAGGAATATCAAAACTGTATTTATTTCTGGTGTGATGCTCATGGGTTCTGATACAACCTTCTATGAAGCTTTTGAGATCAGGATTGGCATTATAGTTTAGCGTTTTATATATGTATAATACACATGAGAGAATGTGCAGTGACTTAATGTCTAACATATTCAGAGATTTAAGTAGGGGTACCGAGTGATGTCTGATATCTCCTTTTAGATTTATGAACAGAGTTTGCTTCCACATCCTGCTCCTCTAAATCATTCCATTTTTCCACTACTCTCACACTAAATGAAAACGAGATGTGTGTGTGTACTGTATATAAATATTCAAATATAAATATACAAATATATATAGTATGTACTAAGCAATTAGATAATAGGATTTGGTACTATTCACTTTATAGAGTGCAAAAAATGAAGCTAAAAACAAACTTAAATATTTCTTGGCCGAGTATAGCACACATATGTACTATATTAGGCCTCAGATAGCATGTATTAGGCCTAGGAAGATTAGGTTAGTTTAGGTTGTCCTTACAACATGGAATACTAAACCTTTTCCGGGTTGTCCAAAATCAATAGTTCAGATTTCTATTTCCTTATTGCGTTGTAGGTTGATATATGTACTATGGTTCTCATCGTTACTATAAGTACAGTACTACCAAAACAGCATATACATACCGATATTTTAAACGTGTGTATGAAAATACACACGTTCGTCATTTTCAATGATATTTAACGCAGGAAAGAATGTGTTTAACCTCGATAAATACCACCCACAAACGGATTTTTTAAGCCAAAGCTAATTACTCTAACATATGCGGACACTTCACACTTTTCTAAATAAATTCAATTTCTTTGAGAGTACTAGAGGATACACTTGTAATAAATATTACGGCACTATAGAGAAATGTAGTTATAAACCTTAGACAAATGCTTCCTTCATTAAGAGGCTCGTTGGCTTGTTATCCCCCGCCGTGAACGAGGCGCGCCTCACCGCCCCAGCAGACGGCTCCTGGCCGCGGTCCGAGCAATACGCTGCCCGTTGGAGCTCCCTGACTGCCGGTAGGTACCTCTGTACCTACTAATTTGTCTTTGCTATTTATGATAATTCACTATGTCGAGGTGGGGTTAGACCTAAGGTTTGGTCCAGTGTATATATACACGTCACCCATCCCCCACAACAAGCCGACTAATTCTTATAGGTGCCTGTTTACTGCTAGATGAACAGAGCAATTAGGTGATATGAACCGCAGCCAACCATTTCTGTCCTAGTCGGGATTCGAAGCCGAAATTCCTGACTAAGTCTAGGACGAACCCGACTGTACTGCCAATTCTTCAATTTTTCTTTATTATGCACCCCATACCCATCCCGTGGGCGGTGGTGTAAATGATTAAGAGGCACATAATCGGTTCAGGAACTGAACCTTCTAGTTCGTTTAGCTAAGCAAATAAAAATTTTTGACGCTAGTTACAAAATTGTTATATGTACTGCCGGACGTCGAGTGGCTCCTCTCTGATGACTGTAGCTATGGTTCATGATCCCATCTCGCGGCGGTAACTTAACTTAATTAAAACTAATTGAGATCAAAGCATAAATGAATTGAAAAAGGGAAAAAGAGTATAATAATTACATGATGGATGGAACAGCAGTATTTTGCACTATTATTGCACATTTAGACGTCTTGGAGAGTGTGTGCTGTCGACTGCTTCAACGACTACCAATGGAACTGTACACGCTTCACACCATGTTTGTTTCTGATCACTCCTTTTTGTTGTTTTACAAACTGAGCAATCACATTGGCCTATTGCACACTTCCCAGCTTGTGGCAAATGTTTGTCTCTGTGCTTGAAAGTCCTCCATGTGAGCGAGGCTGGGTGTAGCAGCATGCTGCATCACTGGGTTCATGATGGGCCGTTGTATGCCAGGGACATCTTTGCCAGACTTTGCTAATAACCGTGTCCCAAGTGTAAAGGCAAACGAACGGAAACTTGGTTTACGTCCAGTTTTCACCAGATATCTATTATAGCTGTTCATCATGCTCATGTCAACAAGATGGAAAAACACTTTTCGTCCATTTCAGTGTTTTCTACACTCGACAGTGCCCACCATCATGTCAGATTTATCAACCAAACGCATGTTTATATTAGTCAAGAACACAATCTGGTTTGTATACTGGTTCTTTCGTTATTCGGTTCACCTTGCCACTGTTAACCATTGTACCATCATGAACGGTTGTCAGCATGTTCACTTCTCTTGTCTTTCTACCTAAGAGTATTTGATCACATTTTCTTAGCTGGCAGTCACCAACTGCAAGTCTATCGTCAAACACTGGCATCTCCCTTTTTCCTGGCGTTACTGTGCCAACCAATTCGGTTCTATTTTCAATCAAGAATCTAGCTAGCAATGGACTGGTATAGTAGTTATCTCTGTAAGATGTGGCCCTTGTACCTGCCGGAACAACCGTGGACATCTTCAAAAGGAAACTAGATTTATTCCTCAAAGGAGTGCCAGACTAACCAGGCTGTAGTGGGTATATGGGCCTGCGGGCCGCTCCAAGCAACAGCCTAGTGGACCAAACTCCCACAAGTCAAGCCTGGCCTCGGGCCGGGCTTGGGGAATAGAACTCCCAGAACCCCATCAACCAGGTACCTCCATGGTGCCATCAGTGATTTCACAACACTACCCGCGAAACCATGTTCGTCGTTACCGGGAATGTCTACATCGCTAGCTGAATACAGAATCATGTGTAACACGTATCCTGTTTCAGTTACAAAGAACAAAGCATTTCAATCCAAATCCGTTTCGTTTGTAGGGAATATACTGCTTGAAGGCAACACGTCCTTTGAAAAGCACAAGGGATTAGTCAATCACCAGTTTGTGCTGGTACGTAAAAATCTCTGAACTTTCCAATCACTTCATTCATATAGTGCCTGACTCTCCAAAGTCTATCATCCTCTGTCCGGTCCTCATTAATTGCAAAATGAAGACACCTGAGGAGTATCTAAAATCTGTCTCGGGACATATTTCCCGAAGAAAGGTGTTGGAATAGTCTCTTTGCTCCGATAATCTGTGATAGCGTGTTTGACAGTGCTTCATCAACATACATATTGCTAAAAATACATAAATTTCCCCTACAGTGTTTTTCCAACGCTGCAGTCTTGGAAATTGGCATAACTTTTCCAATGAGATAAGCCGCATGAAGGTTCGTTTGGTGTACAATATATTCCATGAGCGGCTCAGAATAGAATGATGTAAAATCAATTCACATGCATGTCCTCTCCATTATCAGGGAGAAGCTCTGTAATCCCAACGTCTTTATTGTCAAAGGCAGGAATTAGAGGAATGTCACCATCACTCCACACAAGTACACCTGGTGTCCTGCGAGACGCAACAGGGGCACAACGGCGAGGAAGCGATGCACACCGTGGACCAGGAGCTGAAGCCCGTCTACGCAAAGTACGGCCACTACGTTCACGTGAGGTAGAAGCACGTGAACATAAGGGTCTTTATTCCTCATGTTCCATGTGGTGGCGCTTGACTGGGCGAGATGCTGCTGACGCGACAATTTCTCGCCCGGTAACACCACTGGTACTAGCAACAGGCTCTGTAGCACTATGCTCTGAATCCACTTCACTAAAACCAGAAAGTCACCTTCCTCTGACTCGTCACCCAAAATATCCTCTCTAAATAAGCACAGGAACTGTGTGGTCGTGGGTGAATTGGAGTAAATGCTGGGCGAGGATCGAGGCATGGGTGAGTATGTAGGCCTCGCCATGGGAGGCGGTTGTATCTCATTTTTACTGTCGGTGCTACCATCTTCGGTCAATTGTGTGTAGTCCTTATCATTGTCAGTCATCAAAATCACTTACCTCACCATCAGAAAATAATTCACCGATTATTTGCTCTTGGGTAAGTGATTGCGTGGTGCGTGCCTGGGAGGCGTTCGGCCGTGCTCTCGCCATGGTGACCGCTGGGTAACCGAGGCCTCCCACGCATTGGTAGCGTGAGCTGGATTTTTTTTACAAAATGGCAGCTGTTTACTATAGCCCATGGGCAGCGTATGGGGGCCCTCTCCACCCCGCTGGCCATTCAAATCTTGCGCAGTACTCCAACACGTCATATCACGTGTTGCGCAGTTTAAGGGTTAATTAATCTGGTTGAGAGAGGGTTTGTTTTTGACATGATTGGGATGGTCATTCTGGGTCCATTAGTTTCCAGAGCATTTCTAGTTTGGTAAAGTTTGGTTTCCTGCCCGAAACGCTGCACGTATTAGTGGCTTTACAAGATTGTAAATACCATGCTATGTATTCTCACAAACCCAATGTACCTTGTATACAAATAAATAAAATAAATGTCTCGCTCTTGAAATATCAAATAGGTAGTGCATTTGTTTCTAGTGTGGTGATTGTTGAAATCTTCTAGGAAGCATTTAATGTAGAAATACGAAGATAAGTAGCATTATTTGTCATTATTACATAAAATGTCGGTTGTTTATACCTTAATGAACTGTGCTGGATGATTAGTAACCAGTACCTAATACAATTTTTAGTGCTTTTTAAGGTGCTTGATAAATTCTCGATGAATAATATCAGTACAGTATTAATTGTCGAGTTGCAAGTCTCGTCCTTATCCAAATCGCTGGTCCTTACGCTCAATGCCCGAAACTCTGTGCATTCTAGTGGCTTTAGACATTACAGTATATACTTGCTTTATATAAAAATCCAGCATTGTAACTCATTGCGTGTTTGTATTTTTCCCTGAATAAAATTATCTTATCTTGCTATATACTCAGACCTAGTAGATAAAGCACTCGGGAGAGTGCAGAAAACCTGATGTAAATTTTCACATAATACACAAATATTTATGGGTTTCATCCAAAATAATGTATCTCTATTTTCAGAAAAAAAAGTGGAACCGTTTTTATTAATACATCAGCCCCAGCATCAAGAACAAGAAGAAATAAACTAAAAGATTCACTACAATCAACTTGCTATTTCAGTAGATGATGGTGTCATTAGTTCTGTAAAAGATCACTAATCTGCTCCCAATTAACCCAGTTCTTTGGGTAGTCTGGCCAAAATCAAGTAAGTATTTGTCTGCTTAACTTTACCAAATTTGACAGAAATCCAGGTTACTGGGAGTTTTAACCTCATTACTGAATTATATCTTTTTTGAGAGATGTACAAGAGTTGTTACATTCTTGTACAGCCACTAGTACACGTAGCGTTTCGGGCAGGTCCCTGGAATACGATCCCCGCCGCGAAGAATCGTTGTTACAACCAAGTACACATTTTACTGTTGAGTTAAACAGAGGCTACAGTTAAAGATTGGCGCCCAGTAAATCCTCCCCGGCCAGGATACGAACCCATGACAAAGCGCTCGTGGAACGCCAAGCTTACTAGAAGGCAAAGGGCCATCAACCGGTGAAGCATTTGCTGGTAATCAAAACTTACTTTGCTAAGCTCATGTACAGAAATTTTAGTATTGTTAGGTTAATAAATTAATATTAATAAAAAACCAGCACTGAATGTAATAAAACGCCATTTTCTGGGCGTGTCCCCGGAGACTCCCTGGAGCTATCAGGCTAATACGTGAATAATTAGATCAGGGAATTAAGTCTAGGGAGTTCAGCATACCAGGGATTAAGTCAAAACCTGCCCCCCCCCCCTCAGAGCAATAGCCTATAGAAACCTCCAAGTGGTTGGAAGCACTCTGTTTGCCAGCTACCAGGTTAGGCACCCATAAAGGTAGGCATCCCAAAAACACTCCAACTGGGAAACATTATTACCGAAAACCAAACTGCTAAGCAGAACTAGCCTAATCTGAAAACAGCATGACGTCACCTGCTGCTGCGCCGCCTGTGTGTGCAGCTCCCCCTCACCGGGAGGGGGAAGGGGGGATCCCCAGACCCCCGTGCCCTCAGTTCTGAGTTCTGAACCAACCTCAGTTCTGAGGCTGAATATCAAAAATGTAAAAAAATGCAGAAGAGAGTGGGAGGGATGCCGGTTAGGCTCCGGGACTCGCCCAGAAAATGGCATTGCATTACATTCAATGCTGGTTTTCTGTGGAGAGCCCTTCCGGCTCCCTGGAGCTATCTATCCACAGTAAAAGGAAAAGAGGGACTTAACTGGATGGCAGCCACCACTTGCATCTCAACTCAGAGACAACTGGCTGCAACCTGCGACCCAAAGCAACACACGCCCAACTAGGGCCAGGACATTAACGAGGTAATGGGTGGCCAGGACCCTGTTCGACCTCCAAAAGCCCCATGCCCAAATATCAGCCCAAGACGTATTACAAAAAAGATTACTTAGATTACTTCCCATCTCATGAGGCAGGGACACCCCACCGAAGCCTGCAATTTAATTTTACTAAGAACTTTAAGCCCTGATTACAAGAGTTTGTCCTCAATGAACTCCATTGTTTAATGCTCTCTTTTGGTTTTCTTGCTGCCTCTCACCTATTAATGTATTCATCGATGTTACAGGCAACATCTTCGTTATATATTCATTCATCCATTCACACTTCTGCAATATTTGACCCCCTTTTATTGTCTCCTATAAGGTAAGTAGCCTCTGATGTGGCCCAACCTTACATCCCGGGCATGCTGGTGTCTCGCCGCCTGGGTGTTTCAACTGCTGTTTATTTTCTTCCCTGTGCAAATCTTCTAGCGGCCCCTGTTTATGCACGCTGCCCTGCTTATACTCCATGCCCGCTCCTGCCCACCCTTACTGCCTTAATACTTCCAGACAGTCTACGGAATGCCTAAGGAACACTCGGTGAACGCGGGATGGAGCCCGAGGGCCAGCTTCAGTACCAAAGCCTGCCGTGTGATGGACCCTGGGGAGACAACCTATATGGAGACAGGTTACCACCACCCTAGGGCTGGTCACTGTGCGGGCGGGCCTGCAGCGACAACGCCAGCCAAGGGGTCGACCCTGGGGAGTCGGCGTCTTGTGTAGAAGGGTTTCTACCTCCCCCACCCGTCAAGGAGGGGCTAGTCTCTGCGAGGACGGGCTACAGCGATATCGACGTCCACGAGGATGACGTGGCGTACATATTAGAAAGGCGGTGCACAGCAACCCCCCTTCCCCCCTGCAGTATGACCACCTCACAAGAACATACGATAGTTTGCTTTGCCTATCCATACTCCAGATGGTGCTCCATTGGTCCCATCCCAGACGCTGCTACCTAGCAGCGTCAGCCTTGTATGACCGAATCTGTACCTATGTTATCCTACCACTCCCTAGCCTCTCCGTTCCCATCTTGGCATACATACAACATGTACTTCAGAAGGGCCGCTGCCGTCAAAAACCATGTTACAGTAGCCAGCTAATGCTTGCCCTTCAGGGTGGGGGCTCTGCGCGCGCCAGCTGACCCGACGGAACCCCCAAAGTCTTGTTATTTAATACTTGACTAATGTTTACCTATATATAATTGTAATTACTGTTGGTAAATGCATTAGTGTAAATTAAAATAAAGTAACATTTAATTACTAATAATTATTTAATGGAATTATTAAATCTAATTATAGTTAGTAAAATATATTATGGTTATTATAATTACTTGTTATAATAAATATTATAATTATTTACTATAATTATTTCCCCTGTCTGTCTGGCCCGTTCTTGCCATAAGGGGGTTTGGTGGGCGGCTGCCAGAGTGTGATGCTCCATGGGTCAGTCCTCTGACCTTTTGTAGCCTTATGCTCCTGCTGTTGGAATAGAAAAACCGACTTCTGAAGCATATGAAGTCTGTCTGAAACATTGTTCCGTTGAGGAAAGCCAGAAAGAGGTCCAATGTAGAAAGAGAACGCAGACGACATTACAAAAGGAGGAAGAAATTAACGGAAATGCTTAAGCAGACACGACTCTCCATACAAAGAAGAAATTTAAACAGGGAGATTGAAGAAATCGAAGAGAGACTGAAGCATTCCTATCAGACTGAAGAAAGGCAACTAGAACAGAAAGCAATTAAAGATATAAAGAAAAACCCAAAATATTTCTTCACATATGCTAAATCAAAAACGAAAACCACTGCCAGTATTGGACCTATTCTTATTAGTGAAGGTTCATACACTGAGGATGATAAAGAAATTAGTGAAATCCTAAAAAAACAGTACGAGGACATGTTTAACACTCCGATACTCGGCATGAAAGTGGAAGATTCGGACAATTTCTTTATGAAGGATACTCACACTGTAAATATAACTGATATCAACACGAGCGTGGCAGATTTTGAAAGAAATTGACAATGCCCGTGCACTCAGCCCCAGACTCCTGGAATTCAATATTTATAAAGAAATGCAAAGTGCCAGTAGCACAGGCACTCGGTATAGTGTGGACGAAGAGCTTGGACACAGGGGAGATACCGGATGCGCTTAAAGCGGCAGACATTGCCCCTCTACACAAGGGTGGTAGCAAAGCATTGGCAAAGAATTATAGACCAGTTGCACTAACGTCCCACATAATAAAAGTATTTGAGAGAGTGATCAGGAGTCAGGTCACAAGATTCATGGAAACCAATGACCTCCACAATCCTGGCCAACATGGATTTAGAGCAGGAAGATCATGCCTCTCACAGCTACTTGACCACTATGACAAAATCACTGAGGCATTAGAGGAAAAACATAATGCAGATGTCGTATACACAGATTTTGCAAAGGCATTCGACAAATGTGACCATGGAGTGATTGCACACAAAATGAGGTCAATGGGTATAACTGGTAAAGTAGGACGCTGCATACTCAATTTTCTGTCGAACAGAACACAGAGTAACAGTCAATCAAGTAAAATAGTCTGAGCGCAGTTAAAAGCTCTGTACCTCAAGGTACAGTCCTTGCACCACTGCTGTTCCTTATTCTCATATCAGATATAGACAAAAACACAAGTCACAGCTTCGTGTCATCCTTTGCAGATGATACAAAAATCAGCATGAAAATTACCTCTGCTGAAGACATTGATAAACTACAAACAGATATTAACAAAGTTTTCGATGGGGCAGCAGAAAATATGTTTAACGGTGATAAATTCCAGGTACTCAGATACGGCAAAAATGAGGATCTTAAACATAATACAGGGTACAAAACACAATCGAATCTGCCCATAGTAGGAAAACAGCATGTCAAGGATTTGGAAATAATGATGTCCGACGACCTAACGTTTAGGGAGCATAACCAAGCAAGTATTGCGTCAGCCAGAAAAATGATAGGATGGATTACGAGAACCTTCAAGTCCAGAGATCCCATCACAATGGTTGTACTCTTCAAATCACTTGTGTTGTCCCGTCTTGAGTACTGCTCAGTACTCACTTCCCCCTTCAGAGCAGGAGTGATTGCTGAAATTGAGGGAATACAGAGAACATATACGGCACGCATACACCACTTACGGACTATTCATGCCCGTGCCACCTTTTGGGTGGCTTCGTCTTAACACATTTACAAGGGAGACATCTCCCGTCACGCAGGGTGCATTCGCATCTCCACTGATCTCCAGTAACAGCTCTTGATACTGGTAATGGCTCGAAAGGGCCACCACTTACGGGCTATTCATGCCCGTGCCACCTTTTGGGTGGCTTAATCTTCATCAATCAATCAATCGGCACGCATAGACGCGATAAAGCACCTAAATTATTGGGATCGTCTCAAAGCTCTCCAAATGTACTCACTAGAAAGGAGACGAGAGAGATACCAAATAATATATACGTGGAAAATACTGGAGGGCCAGGTCCCAAATCTACACAGTAAAATAACAACGTACTGGAGTGAACGACATGGAAGAAAATGCAGAATAGAACCAGTGAAGAGCAGAGGTGCCATAGGCACAATCAGAGAACACTGTATGAACATCAGAGGTCCCCGGTTGTTCAACGTCCTACCAGCGAGCATCAGAAATATTACAGGAACAACCGTGGACATCTTCAAGAAGAAACTAGATGGTTTCCTTCAAGGAGTGCCGGACCAACCGGGCTGTGGGGGTATGTGGGCCTGAGGGCCGCTCCAAGCAACAGCCTGGTGGACCAAACTCTCACAAGTCAAGTCTGGCCTCGGGCCGGGCTTGGGGAGTAGAAGAACTTCCAGAACCCCATCAACCAGGTATCAACCAGGTATCATTATGAATGAAGTACTTACACATTTCTTGGACACTATTGATGGTGTTATCTCTAAATTCCGCGATTTTTTCACATTCCATTATATAATGACGCAAAGTATGCGAATAGTTCTGCTGACAGAGTTTACATTTAGTCAAATCTACATCAGCAGATGTTACAAATTCCCAGAGGTACTTGTAGCCGAGCCTAAGCCTAGCAGTGGTAACATCTAGAAGTTTGCTAACCTTATTGGATGATCCATAGACGTGCGGTACCTCCTGCATAATAGAATGATGATAGATGGAGTAACTGGTGTGAATTTCACTTTGCCTCAAGTCTCCGAAATTTAGTTGATATTCCCGGAATATTACTGCCTTTAGGCTGCTCAAAGGCAGTCCAAGTTGGTAATCAATTCCCTCTTTACGAGCAAAGGTCTTGGCCAACTCATCAGTTCTATCATTGACCAAGATATTGACTAGACCTAGAATCAGTTCACTTAAAGATATAATCACTGGAGCATTAACTCTGGCCACAAGAGCCTCCAATAGCAACAGGTGGACCCATTGTGCGATAAACACCATCAATACATTCGATATAACAAACACAATCACTGAGAAGGGTGTCGACGAAATACATGCAGACTTTGTTATGCAAGCTCCTTGGGAATCTCTGCCAGCAGACTTTAAGGTTATGGTTATTAAAGGAAAAAGAACCAGACAAATCCTCATCTGCTATGTAACATTGCACAAATGCATATAGAAGCAAACTTGGCATCCGACAGCTTCACATACTTCACAGATGGATCAGTAGACCAGCAGGGTCAAGAAACCGGAGCTGCAGTTAAAGCACGAAACTCTGTAAATAGTTGGAGGCTCTCAAATGGGTGTTCGACTTTACAAACAGAGATGCTAGCCATTCAAAAGGCTTTGGAACACGATCTTGCTGAACACCGACAACATGTTATCATACATACAGATTCGAGAACCGCCACTGAAACCTTGCAACAAGAACACATGTGATAACATACATCTGATCACAAATGTCATATCATTAATGCAAACACTCAAACGACAAAGCCGACGGGTACTTATCAACTGGGTGCCAAGTCATGTGGGAATAATAGGAAATGACATTGCAGACGAAGCTGCAAAACTTGCAACTAAGAGAAGAAATGTAGACATTTACATACCACAGAGTCTATCACAGATTAAGAAAGTAATTAATAATAATAATAATAATAATAATAATAATAATTTTTATTTAGGCAAAGGTACATACATAAAGAGATTTTACAAAGTTTGTTGGCTTTATAGATAGAGCTAGTACATACAATGCCTAAAGCCACTATTACGCAAAGCGTTTCGGGCAGGAAAAAACACTACTGACTAAAGCTTAAAACTAATGGGTAAAAAGAAAAAAATGCGTTGAGTACAAATAAAAATAGAGGTAAAAGAGGGGGGGAACATTGTTGAAAAAACAGCACAAATACAATTATAAATTATTACAGAAAATTACATTAAAACAGCGTTGATTTGTAAAACAAAAAAAAAAAAAAAAAACATACATGGGTTGACAATAGAAGGGTAAGGTAGGTTACATGGAATTTATTAGGTATAGCTTCGTTTTTATTTTTTTAATTAGAAACAGAGCAATGCAAAAGATGTACAGTGACCACAACACAGCAGTTGCAACATCAGGATCTGCGGGTTGGTACAAGAATTCAACCAACTACGAACCACTTAGTTTAATGAAAGGGAGCAGTAGAGCAACAGAAGTACACTTACATCGCATCAGGCTTGGATACGCATGTGCATGGGAAATAGGCTTACAAGTTCCGGAAGATGAGAGGAAATGTCAGAACTGTGGAGAAATGCCCGACAGACCACTGGAACATTATCTAACACAGTGCACAGTTACAAACCCATTAAGATTTCAACTTAGATTCAACAGAGCAGAAGAAGTTGTTAAACACATATGGTAAAATCTTACTGAAGCGACCATACCAGTCATAAATACTCATACTCCACCCAAGTAAAACAGAAACAAGCAACACTTAGTGGGCCAGCCAGAGGCTTAGGGCCCCGCGCAGGAATATCCCTGCAAAAAAAAAAAAGATCTATCATGCATTCGGAGACCATATGGGAAGGAATCCACAGGAGACAGACTTTGACTCCATCATTGATTATTTCATTATATCTGTGTCTAGCTTCAGAGATAAGCACGTCACAGTTATGCCTTGGGAAGCTGAGGGCAGTCAAGGATGACAAGGAGTCACTTACAATTAGCGTGTCTATGTTATGCATTTGTCAAGTACTCACTTATAGCCGCCTCATTTACATGTTTTGCAGAAATTACTTACTTGTATTCTACTACTTAATAAATAAGCCCCATACTGTTGGTGTTATTTTCTCCCTGATCAGAAAACTATTTTCTTTTACAAGAATGTAAAATCAACTTAATTTCTATGTTCTCTGTTAACCCTTAATGTACCTTTTTGTATATAAATACATAAATATTGAGGCAGGTATTTTTTCCCCTGATAACAGACTAACTATTCTGTGAGATGGGAGTATTAGATGAACTTATAGCTAGTTTTTTAACTACTTTGTATAATCTTTCATATAGAATAGGGTAGCAGCACATTGCTGTGTATACCTAAGCTTCGTCAACAAAACCCAGATGCGATTCATCAGTGCTTCGTTAGAGATGGTCTGATAAAGGTGAGAAAAACCGCAGAGGGCAAAATGTTTACTATTACTAGAGAAGAAAACCTCAACACTTTCCTCTCCCAATGTGGTTTGTCTCACCTTATCACTCCCAATGAATTAACTTAATTAACCCCCTGTCAACTAGTGGGGCTAGGTATCCTAAGTCTCCTTGGTTCATTTTCTGACTTAATTTTTAACTTACTCTTACCTAGACTTTTACCGAAATTATTTAATTGAGTTATTAAGTAGTTCTTCAGGTCTTTTTAATTATACAGTCATTACTGAACTATCTATAGTTATTAATCATTAGCTTAAATTTGCCTATGTTTATTATTCAACTTTTCTTTGATTTCATTTATTACCTAGGTTGCCTAGCCTCGCCATGCTCCCTTACTCCATTGTACCCCTGGCTTTGCCTGCATCTCAAATTGCTAATTGTTACTTACAGTGTACCTGAGAGTACTCGTAAGCAATCTACCTCATTTTTTCTTTTTTTTTCATTTTTGCTCAATTTGTTTTTTTTTTGTATTGCTTAGTCTTGCTTATATTTTTTGTTTTGTATTTCTATATCTTGTGTTTTGTATAATCCATGTTTACATGTTTTTTCTTTAATCTCATTAATTGCCTAGGTTGCCTAGCCTAGCCATACTCCCTTACTCCATTGTACCCCTGTAAGACCCTTTTGTGTTTGTTTTGTACAGTATTGTGTATATATTTTTCCCTATTTTATAGCTTATTTCTACTTATTTCTGATTCTACAATCAGCTTTTTTTTATGCAGTCAAGTATAGACCCAGAACTTAACCTCTTATCCACTATCTATGACAATAATCACTTTAATGATCTAAATTGCAGATATTTTGCAGCACATGATGTAAACAATGTATTAACTCATAATCATAATATCTCTGTAATCAATTTGAACGTTAGATCCCTAGGTAAACACTTCGATGATGTTAGTGCCTTGATTGAAACTATTGGCAACAAATTCTCTTTTATTATACTTACTGAAACATAGTTGAAAGAGGATACTACTCAACTCTTTAACATGCCTAACTACTCAGCAATTCACAACTGTCGTCAACTTCAGAGAGGTGGTGGCACTGCTCTTTACTACCACCAAGAGCTAACATGCTTAAAAGAAATTAGAACTAGAGACTGCTATGGGGAGTATATCTTTGCCAGCTTCAGAGTCAAGGGTGCCGAGTCTGTCCTGTCTGTGGGTGCAGTCTATAGAATTCCCAACACTGATGTGTCTGTATTCAACTCAAACCTTAGAAATCTAATACTTGTTAACAGACTGAACAAAAACCACCTAATTATCGCAGGGGACTTTAATATTGACCTCTGCGAGCCAGAACACCCTACTGCTGTTAGCTTCCTCAACTGTATGAATTCCTGCTTCCTCATACCCTTAATCACTAGACCTACTAGAATCACTGATAGCACTGCCACGACTCTAGATCACATCTGGACCAACATAACCTCTCCGCTTACTTCAGGTATAATCACCGATAGCACTACAGACCACTACCCCACATTTCTCTTAACTAACATTAGCAAACCACCTCTAGAAACAAGGGAGTTATGCTTTAGGCTGCACAATGAAACTGCTATAAACAATTTTATAACTGCTGCTGATAATGTCAACTGGGAGTCCGAGTTAGGTAACATAGGGGACATCAACCTAGCAGTGCAATCTTTTCTACAAACAACTCTTAGCCTTTATAACACCCACTGTCCTAGGCTTACAAAACAAGTCACAAGCAAAAGGCTTAACAATCCTTGGCTTACAAAGGGAATACTGAAATCCATTAACAAAAAACACGACCTTGAGAAGAAGTATAGGTTAGGAATTGTCTCCAAAGAATTCTCAAAGAATTACTCATTATTGCTATCTAAGATAATTAGACTAGCCAAAACTAAATACTACGAAGATAAATTTACTCAAATAAAGAGCAACATTAAACAAACTTGGAGCACAATTTCACAAATATTGGGATCAAAGAAATCTTTAAATAACAAACCGACTCTCCTGTCTAATAACGATGGTCAGCTTTCAGCCTCTGATTCTGCTATTGAGTTCAATAGGTTCTTCTCTTCCATTGGTTCATCCCTTGCAAATGATATTCCATCTTCCAGTACTGACATTAAGGACTATCTTACAGGTAACTATCCACAGTCTCTGTACCTAAAGCCTATTAACTCCACTGATGTCAATGAGATAATCCTTTCCCTTAAAACCAAGTCTGGTGCCCTTGAGGAGATACCAACTTTAATTTACAAAAAAGCCTCCAGATCTTTAGCCCCTGCTATTGCTTTGCTCTTCAACAAGTCACTTGAACTCCAAACCTTTCCAGTTATTCTAAAAAAAGCGAGAGTAACGCCTGTCCACAAATGTGGTGACCCCTCAGATGTTAACAACTACAGACCTATATCAATCCTGCCAAACTTGTCAAAAATTTTTGAAAAACTTATATATAAGCAGCTTTACTCATATCTAGCCAAACTCAATATACTTAGCCCTTGTCAATATGGCTTCAGACCCAAAAAAAGCACTAACGATGCACTTATTAGTATGCTTAACTCGATTCATACAGCTCTTGATAAAAAGGAGTTCCCTGTTGGGTTATTTGTGGACCTGCGTAAAGCTTTTGATACTGTCAACCACCATAACCTTCTTCTTAAATTACATCATTATGGAGTCAGAGGACACTCCCTACAATACCTCGAGTCCTACCTTACTGACAGGCTCCAATATGTTTCTGTGAATAATACAATTTCTCCCACCCTACCCATCAACATTGGTGTTCCTCAGGGCAGCATACTTGGCCCTCTCCTCTTTCTCATCTACATTAATGACCTTCCAAATGCCTCCCAACACCTCAAACCAATTCTATTTGCTGACGACACAACCTTCATTTACTCCAGTCCTGATCCCCTTGCTCTAAATGCCACAGTAAATACTGAGCTAAATAAAGTCCATCTTTGGCTAACTGCCAACAAACTCACCCTTAACATTGACAAAACTTTCTATATTCTGTTTGGCAATAAATCCTCTAGTCATATAAATCTCAAAATAAACAATACCCAAATTTGTAACAAATTAGATGGCAAATTCCTTGGCATTCTCATTGACCACAAGCTGAATTTCCAGGGACACATTCTAAATATATCAAAAAAAGTTTCAAAAACTGTGGGCATTCTTTCTAAGATCAGATATTATGTACCACGCCCTGCCCTGGTGACTCTCTATTACTCCCTTATCTATCCTTATCTCAACTATGGTATTTGTGCTTGGGGTTCTACTACCCAAAATCACTTACGTCCTCTAATTACCCAACACAAAGCTGCTATTAGAACAATATCAAACTCTGGCCCCAGACATCACTCGGTACCCCTACTCAAATCTCTGAATATGTTAGATATTAAGTCACTGCACATTCTCTCATGTGTATTATACATATATAAAACGCTAAACTATAATGCCAATCCTGATCTTAAAAGCTTCATAGAAGGTTGTAACAGAACCCATGAGCACCACACCAGAAATAAATACAGTTTTGATATTCCTAGAGTACGTCTTAATCTAACTAGAAATGCTCTGCAAATCAAGGGGCCCAGAATGTGGAATGACCTTCCCAACCATGTTAAAGACTGTACCTCTCTCAACCAGTTTAAGATAAAAACTAAACACTACCTAATAAATTCCCTGTAATCTACCTCACTCCTCTATTGTCAACCCATGTCTGTTATTTTCTTAATCAACACTGTTTGTCAACCTATTGTATTTGTGCTGCTTTTTCAGTCATGTTCCCCCTTTTTTTTATCTTTATTTGTATTTGTTCTCAACACTTTTTATTCTTTATGCTCAATTAGTATTAAGTTCTAGATATTAATGTTTTTCTTGCCCGAAACGCATTGCGTAATAGTGGCCTAGGCAGTGTATGTACTAGCTCTATCTATATATCAATCCATTAATGTAACATCACTTGTATGTATATACCTTACCTGAATAAACATCTGAATCTGAATCTGAATCTGCTTGTTAATAGAAACAAAATTCAACCGTTTTCTTTGGACGCTCGTCTGTTTCAAACAGGCTGCACATTTTTGGAATGCTATACATGGGTTAACCCAAGTTGCATTCCTCTTATGAATCCGACAATCTTCTTGTTTCCTATGTATACATATACCTTTTCCTAAATAAAAAAATGTTTATGTTTATGTTTAAATATATGGCGCTGAACAATTGCAATGGCGTGCGTTGCTCTCAGGAAATATGTCTGTTTATCATATCACTGAACTTTATTTAATATAACTATATACCAGCCAAGTAGATGATTTTATCAGTTAATATTATTACATTGTCTTTTTTGTCACTAAGTTGTATAAGGGAAGGTGCAAATTGGGCGTGGGAAACATTCAAAATATTAGTGGGTGCGTAGTGGCCATGTTGAGCAGCAGGTGAGAACTTGTATGGAGGCGTGGGGCCCGCACTCTCTCCTCTCCTGGGGCTCTCCCTCGCCTTGACACCCCGTGTCATGCACTCACAAGTAAGGTACATAATGAGTGGTTCAGTAGAGGCACATGATCTTAACTAACTATGTGTATTCAAGGTAATAAAGCGTGAGTTAGGGGGCTGGCGGTAAGGAGGACGAGTCGCTCTGCCATCCCCTCATGTCAGGCTAAATATATTGTTTTGGTTTTGAATGTGTGGTTTTATATACACATTCGGTTAGTATATGGTATGTATTTATTAGTTTAAAAGAGTGTTATAGGAGCTGATATACTCGTCCTGTGAGCTAGTGGGACTTGATTTGAAATTGGTTATAATTTTTGTTTAGTTTTAATTATTCGTTGTGTCGGGGGGACAGGTAGCCAAAATAAATAAATATAATATTTATATATATATATATATATATATATATATATATGCGAACAAGCCTGAATGGTCCCCAGGACATATGCAACTGAAAACTCACACCCCAGAAGTGACTCGAACCCATACTCCCAGAAGCAACGCATCTGGTATGTACAAGACGCCTTAATCCACTTGACCATCACGACCGGACATAATGAGGTGATAGCCGAGGCTATTTGAACCACCCCACCGCCGGCACTCGGATAGTTATCTTGGGCATAGCATTTTACCAAATCACCTCATTCTTTGGGGCAACACGTGAGGAACACAAATGCGAACAAGCCTGAATGGTCCCCAGGACATATGCAACTGAAAACTCACACCCCAGAAGTGACTCGAACCCATACTCCCAGAAGCAACGCATCTGGTATGTACAAGACGCCTTAATCCACTTGACCATCACGACCGGACATAATGAGGTGATAGCCGAGGCTATTTGAACCACCCCACCGCCGGCACTCGGATAGTTATCTTGGGCATAGCATTTTACCAAATCACCTCATTCTTTGGGGCAACACGTGAGGAACACAAATGCGAACAAGCCTGAATGGTCCCCAGGACATATGCAACTGAAAACTCACACCCCAGAAGTGACTTGGTGACACCCCAGAAGTGACAGAAGTGAGGTGATTTGGTAAAATGCTATGCCCAAGATAACTATCCGAGTGCCGGCGGTGGGGTGGTTCAAATAGCCTCGGCTATCACCTCATTATGTCCGGTCGTGATGGTCAAGTGGATTAAGGCGTCTTGTACATACCAGATGCGTTGCTTCTGGGAGTATGGGTTCGAGTCACTTCTGGGGTGTGAGTTTTCAGTTGCATATGTCCTGGGGACCATTCAGGCTTGTTCGCATTTGTGTTCCTCACGTGTTGCCCCAAAGAATGAGGTGATTTGGTAAAATGCTATGCCCAAGATAACTATCCGAGTGCCGGCGGTGGGGTGGTTCAAATAGCCTCGGCTATCACCTCATTATGTCCGGTCGTGATGGTCAAGTGGATTAAGGCGTCTTGTACATACCAGATGCGTTGCTTCTGGGAGTATGGGTTCGAGTCACTTCTGGGGTGTGAGTTTTCAGTTGCATATGTCCTGGGGACCATTCAGGCTTGTTCGCATTTGTGTTCCTCACGTGTTGCCCCAAAGAATGAGGTGATTTGGTAAAATGCTATGCCCAAGATAACTATCCGAGTGCCGGCGGTGGGGTGGTTCAAATAGCCTCGGCTATCACCTCATTATGTCCGGTCGTGATGGTCAAGTGGATTAAGGCGTCTTGTACATACCAGATGCGTTGCTTCTGGGAGTATGGGTTCGAGTCACTTCTGGGGTGTGAGTTTTCAGTTGCATATGTCCTGGGGACCATTCAGGCTTGTTCGCATTTGTGTTCCTCACGTGTTGCCCCAAAGAATGAGGTGATTTGGTAAAATGCTATGCCCAAGATAACTATCCGAGTGCCGGCGGTGGGGTGGTTCAAATAGCCTCGGCTATCACCTCATTATGTCCGGTCGTGATGGTCAAGTGGATTAAGGCGTCTTGTACATACCAGATGCGTTGCTTCTGGGAGTATGGGTTCGAGTCACTTCTGGGGTGTGAGTTTTCAGTTGCATATGTCCTGGGGACCATTCAGGCTTGTTCGCATTTGTGTTCCTCACGTGTTGCCCCAAAGAATGAGGTGATTTGGTAAAATGCTATGCCCAAGATAACTATCCGAGTGCCGGCGGTGGGGTGGTTCAAATAGCCTCGGCTATCACCTCATTATGTCCGGTCGTGATGGTCAAGTGGATTAAGGCGTCTTGTACATACCAGATGCGTTGCTTCTGGGAGTATGGGTTCGAGTCACTTCTGGGGTGTGAGTTTTCAGTTGCATATGTCCTGGGGACCATTCAGGCTTGTTCGCATTTGTGTTCCTCACGTGTTGCCCCAAAGAATGAGGTGATTTGGTAAAATGCTATGCCCAAGATAACTATCCGAGTGCCGGCGGTGGGGTGGTTCAAATAGCCTCGGCTATCACCTCATTATGTCCGGTCGTGATGGTCAAGTGGATTAAGGCGTCTTGTACATACCAGATGCGTTGCTTCTGGGAGTATGGGTTCGAGTCACTTCTGGGGTGTGAGTTTTCAGTTGCATATGTCCTGGGGACCATTCAGGCTTGTTCGCATTTGTGTTCCTCACGTGTTGCCCCAAAGAATGAGGTGATTTGGTAAAATGCTATGCCCAAGATAACTATCCGAGTGCCGGCGGTGGGGTGGTTCAAATAGCCTCGGCTATCACCTCATTATGTCCGGTCGTGATGGTCAAGTGGATTAAGGCGTCTTGTACATACCAGATGCGTTGCTTCTGGGAGTATGGGTTCGAGTCACTTCTGGGGTGTGAGTTTTCAGTTTATATATATATATATATATATATATATATATATATATATATATATATATATATATATATAAATATATATATAAATATATATATATAAATATAAATATAAATATATATATAAATATATATATAAAATATATATATATATATATATATATATATATATATAAATATATATATAAATATAAATATAAATATAAATATAAATATATATATAAATATATATATAAATATATATATATATATATATATATATATATATATATATATATATATATATATATATATATATATATATATATATATATAATGATAATAATAATAATATATATATAAACTATGCAACACAGAAACTGGTGTTTTTCCACAGTTCAATAAGTAATCCACGTAATCCACCAGTGTTTATCTCGGGTTTGTATTGAGCCCCAAGCTGACTAACTCCTGGGTATCTATTTACTGCTGGGTGAACGGGCACATTAGGCGATAGGAAACACTGCCAACCATTTCTGTCCCGGCCGGGATTTGAACCCGGAATTCCCGATTGTGAGTCGAGCACGAACCTGACTGGAAGATATTTATTTTTATTTATTTATTTACAAGAAGGTATGTTGGGTTTATGAGAATACATAGCATTGATGATTTTACATTCTTATTAAGCCAGTAACACGCATAGCGTTTTGGGCAGGAACCAGGATATTATTTGGCCACTTCATTTACTTTACCCAATAACTTTTTTTAGGAAACAGTTTGTTATAGTATCAGTAGTATAACCTCACCATTGTAACATCTGAGGAATTTACAAACAAGTAATTTGTTCTTGATCACAGAAACTGGTGTTGCTTTCCATGGTTGAATAAGTAATCCAGCAGCGTGCATCTTCACATGGAAGGGCGTCTGGACCCACACGTACGAAGTTGTCACAAATCTGTATCTTCTCGGGTAAGACAGTTATCTGTGTTTGATGTCTTGTTGGTCGATGAGGTTTCCCAAAATGCCCCACAAAAGTTTCCACACAAATCATTAAAAACATGATTGGTGCCATATATTAATTATTAACCCTAAGACAGCAGCTTTGGAGAAATGGTCATACCTGCCTATGCATTAAAAAATAAATATACAGTACCAACAAATAATTTTTCTTTATAAAATTATAAATTTATATGCAAAATGTAAGAAAATCACAAAAATAAGTGAATATTTATTGTTTCACTGTGGGGAGGTGCTCTGGAAGGGTGTGTGGTGGGTGTCTAGTGCCGGACTTATAAACAATGATTAAGGGTTTTTTTTACACACAAAAATGCAATATTTAATCATAGATTTCACACTGCTGTTGAGTTGGAACACAACGGCTGAGGAAGTGTTGAATGACACTTGAGTGACAGCCTACGGCAGCCTGAGTGACATTCTTTTGGCTCCCTCTTTGAGGTCAGGGCCTTACTTCAGGGTTCATTCTAGTCTCAGTTTTTGGGGTTCCAGGCTTTCCCTGACTAGAAGTGGTGTTTGCCATGCCTCCTGCCATTCTGGTTTATTTGTGCTGCTTCCCTTAGGCCCCAGCCTTTTGTTTTTTTGGTTGACACATGGTCTGGTCGTCATCTTTGCCTTTTGTTCTTTGCTTTCACAGTGGGGCTGAAGGGATTGTCATCAGCTAGCTACTGTTAGGTACATTTGGTCCTTGCAGGAATTGTTTAAGTCCTCCCTGGTGCTTGACTGTGGCAGAACTGTTTTCCAGTATTGTACCGCCTGCAGAAGGGGATGTGTACCTGAATGCTTTCCCTTTGTGTTTGGGTTGTGCTTCTGTGGGGCTTGCTCTCGCCTTTTCATAACTCTGCCAATTTTTTTCTGCTTTTTTTGAACCCTTTCTCCCAATATGTTTTCCGAGAAGACGGCAATGTTTCCCTATCACAAGTGAGGTTTCGAAGAGACTAAACAGATTATTGCCTGCATTTCACTTTTCTATGCAGAACTGGATGGTTATATTGTTCAGGACAGTACTGTACAGTGGAACCTCGAATAACGAATTTAGTCCGTTCCGGCGCTGTGATTGTCATGTGAAACGGACGTCATACAAAACGAATGTCCCCATTGACAATAATGGAAATCACATTAATCCATTCTACCACCGAAAAACATCAATATGATATTCGATGTTTTAAATAATGGAGCAGCCTATGTTACATACACTGAACAAACCTTTTATAACATTTTTCTTTCTTTAAATTTGTTCAATATTTGTCTTCATTTGTCTCATAGCAAAAGGTCCATTTGGTGTTTGGTAGGTAAGCTGCTCCATGTTTCTTAAATAAAAAAAAAACAGTTGAAACAATTTGAAAAACGGACAAATGCCATAAAGGTTCGTTCAGTGTTTGTCGGGTAGGCTGCTCCATTATGAGAATCTTTCTTTGTTTCAAACGTATTCCATTTATTTTGTGTCTTTCATTTACGTCTCGATAATGGAGCAGCCTACCTGCCGAACACCGAATGAACCTTTTTGGCATTTGTTGTACAGTATTTCAAAAAATTTCATTTCCTTTTTCTACAAAAAAATCAATGCTTTGCAGAGACTCCTTTATATCCCAGCATCATTAGCAGCTTTAAACATAAACAACATAATTTATTTTCATTGTCGGAGGCGTTCGAGAATGTGCAAGAAGCAGTGCGACTCCACCATGTGGTGGTGTCGTTATTCAAACGAGCGGTCGCCATACGAGATGAATTATCTGCGATCTGGGCGATCGTTACCCAAAATGCTCGCCATTTGAAGCGATCGTCACTCGAGGTTTTACTGTATATAATCATATCTTTTAAGATTTAAGAGCTTGTGTTAAGAGCAAATTTGATTGTGAATATAATATTGATGTGGGGTTTTCAAGTGATGGAAACCAAAATTTGTTTGCATTAAATATATCAAACTCGTACTGCATTTTTTAAACTGGGGATATCTTGGTTGGGCAAATACCTGTACTGGCTAATAAAGTGCATTCTCAGAGGGAACTAGTTGTGGTCAACATGTATACTTTAGCTGATGATTGTTGTTGTATAATTGCATTTCTTTTGCAGAGCACACACAAACGCCTTAAGAAAACTAAAAGAACAAAGCACCAAAATGTAAGAAAAGCAAATCATGGTAAGAAACTTTGCAATGTTTTAGTATGAATTAGTGTAAGTGCAAAGTGGATAATAAGAAAATAGGTGAAGTTAACATTTCACTGAGTATCTTTATCACTGGAGTACCTTATTGTTCTGGAAACACAGTACAGTACTTGTTAATCAATCAACAGAACCAATTACTTGGCTATTACTGGTTATCTTCTTATCTTGAGATGATTTTGGGGCTTTTTAGTGTCCCCGCGGCCCGGTCCTCGACCAGGCCTCCACCCCTAGGAAGCAGCCCATGACAGCTGACTAACACCCAGGTACCTATTTTACTGCTAGGTAACAGGGACATAGGGTGAAAGAAACTCTGCCCAATGTTTCTCGCCGGCGCCTGGGATCAAACCCAGGACCACAGGATCACAAGTCCAGCGTGCTGTCCGCTCAGCCGACCGGCTCTGGTATGCACATTCTTTTCATAACATTCTTATTTTTTCATTAACATTCTTATGAATGTTATAAAATGAATGTCATTCATTTCATTGTCTTGCATACCAACACCTTGGAGCTTCTGCAGTGCAGACCATGCAATTAATATTAGTCAGCTACCTCCTTGTTGAAAACACATTTGTGCAGAGATCCTTTACTGCTAGAATCCACTCAGTAAAACATCTAAACTACCAGTACTGGGTCCAACTAAAGAGCCTAAATCTGTATTCTCTTGAGCACAGGTTTGAGAGATACATAATAATTTACACATAGAAAATATTAGAAGGGCTGGTCCCAAAACTGCACGCAGAACTAACATCACATGAGACCAGAAGGCATGGCAGGATGTGCAGAATATCCCCATTGAAGAGCAGAGGTGCAATAGGTATTTTGAGAGGGAACTTTATCAACATCAGAGGCCTGAGACTGTTCAGAACGCTTCCACTACACATAAGGGGCATAACTGGCTGACTCCTCACAGTGTTCAAGAGTGAGCTTGATAAGCACCTCCAAAGGATACCTCATCAACCAGGCTTTGATTCATACATCAGGCTGCGAGCAGCCATGTCCAACAGCCTGCTTAACCAGTCCAGCAACGAGGAGGCCTGGTCTACGATCGGGCCACGGGGACGCCAAGCCCCGAAAACCCCTCAAGGTAACCCAAGGTAAGGTGCTTGGTGTGAATTTGGGCACTGGACGAAGAGCCACTGTAATACAAAGGATCTCTGGATATAGAACTAGATTATAACCAGTGAGACCATCATGCCACAAGTGGTGTAGTGTTGGAGACCCACGTTTGTTGCAGACATAGGCACTTCCAAAAGAAATTCTGCATAGGGATGGCGGGGGGGCACCCATGGCTCTAAGGCGAGCTTTCTCCTGTTGTGACATTGCAGCATGAAGGAAGGCATCAGCTATTTTCTCCACCATTTGGGAATTACTCTACATTGGGAACATTCCAACATCCCAGTTGTAATGTTTTATTGTTTTGTTGCTTCTGGTCAGAATACTGGGGCTGCAAGAGCATCCCACTAATTGGAACATTCAATAAAAGGAGGATTGTGTATCCATGCCAAATCATTAAGGGGTTCTTTTACAAGGTTGTTCAATGCAGAGGAGGCTGGTAAAGCAATCTGGGAGACTGTGAACACCAAGGCCATCTTGTCTGATGGGAAGGGTTGCGTGTTTCTACCGAGTCGTCCACAGGGAGTTTGAAGACTTTTTCTAGCATGGACTTCAAAAGAGAATCAGACTTGCTTGTCAGACTATTTGACTTCATATTATTCCTCAATTGAAAGGTGGCCTGTTCAAGGCGAGCCCTGAACCGAAATCTTGCCACATTTTTATATATACTGTTCATATATATGTATGTATGCTGTAATAACAGTACAGTATTATAATTTGCATTATTACTTTTATAATCATAAAAATTTCTGTTACTAGGCAGAAGTGTGTTCAAATGGGCATTAGGCACTCTCTACTCTGCAGTGTATGAGCACCGCTGGGAGGATGCTTTTAAGCTATTGCCATGTGTCGTCATCCGTATGAGCAATGATGTGCCTTATGATTTCCTCTGGAGGGTATGTACCAGGAATATTTCCATCGAATATTGGTTTCATTTGACAACATTCATGTTAGCTTAATTTTACTTTACATACAGCATGTGCTAGAACCTATAAGCTGTTGTAGATCTCATTAGATTTATTGGGTTTTGATGGTGTATTTTGATATGCTGGATTAGTGTTCTTTCTGTTTTTTTTATTACCTAATTTTAAATTATAATAAGACAAATTTAATTGCTGTGTGGTGCTTTGTCATTCCTCCAGTACAAGAATGTTTATATCTAGGCATATCAACAGTAATTCTTTGAATTTTGTCTGTGCTTTATTCTGCTTGATAAAGCAAAATGAACATGTTGGTTATAGTACTGTATTGAACTTTCATTACAAAGAGATTGGATGATTTACAAGCCATTTTGACTTCCTTGATCTCTAAAGACATTTTGGGTTGCTGTTTGTGGTTCAGTAAATGGTGTTTATCACATCCTCAGAGAGGGATTCAGAGGCCTACACTGGACCGTTCTGAAGAACCCCCAGACAAAATGGCTGAACCACAAGATTCCACAATTGAAAGGTGGCCTGTACATGGTGAATCCTGAACCGAAGACTTTCCAAGTTTAGAATCAAATGGGGAATAAAAAACAGACCAACATAAAGAAACAATTTAGATTAAACTTATCGAAGATATGAGTCCTTATTATACAGTTCAGTATTTAAGCCACCAAACCTTGACAAAAAGGCAGGCAGGCAGAAATATCCAGGGCATTTTGATCTAATGTTTGTATTATAGTTGATTAAAATTAGTCATATTAACAGGGAATGCTGAGGCAGAAGTTTGGAATTTTGTTGATGGCTTTGTACATTTTTTTATTGTCCTCGATTGTTTTTCCACAAAGTTGGTCAAGCTACTGAGCAACTACAGACATCTTGCACAGCAGTAGGCGGCTTTACACACTATATGGGGTTCCATCTAGTGTTGAATTAACCATTTGATTTTGAGTGAATTAGTTGTGGAGTTGGTTAGCTGTTTTGGTGCTTTGTTTTATGTGAACATTACAGTTATGTCTTGCTTTGTTTACTTTCTGGATGCTTTCTTGGTGTGGGTGATGGTAACAATTTTCATCTCCCTGGGCTTCTTTAAAGGGCAAGTTCTGGCTCTAGTCCCTGGTAGGCCAACAGAACACCTATGACTGATGTGAGTTGGTGAGAAAACTACAGGGAGTCAGTGGGGCTCTACCAAAAGGAGGCATATCATTACATTCAATACTGGTAAACAAATCCACAAGGGCCGTGACGAGGATTCGAACCTTCGTCCGAGAGCATCCCAGACGCTGCCTTAATCGACTGAGCTACGACGTTTTTGTTCATTTGATGCATCACGCAATTGTGATTTCTGTGTGTAATTCAATACTGGTATTTTTCCCATGTTGATCCCATGGTTTAAGTAGCAACTGAGTAAGATAGCTAGGCAAATAAAAAATGAGGAATAATACTTTATTGGTTGAGGCATTGTTTATAGCAGAATTCATTCATATATCAAGTGTTAAGATCTGCTGTCAGGATTTCCTTGAAAACTTCTCTCTCCACTTACCAAATTGGCTACTTGTGAACTATCACCTGCTTCTGATTCATTGAGAAGCTGTTAACTTATATGATGTATGTAATATGTTATGTAGTACATATCACAATATGAAAGACATGCAGAAAAATGTAATAATGTGCAAGCAATTCTCTCCTCGTTTTATTTAACACTTTCGCGCTATCTGAACGCGCCGGCGCGTCCGGTTTCGTCTAACGTAAACGCATAGTGGACATAAAGTTATGTCAACTTTTAAAATATTTGTATAAAATTCAATTTTTATCCGATTTACTTTGGGTTTGTTTTAAACTGCGCGCTATGAGGCTCTCTTTCTCACCACTAGGCTGCATGGTACAATAAGTTCATGAAAGGTGTGGATAACTTCGATCAAATGGTATTTTGTCCCAAACGGGTTGCAGGTGGGTGACTTGAGCCGTTTATACTGGTAATGCTTCCCCCATATCATGTATTATATGCATATGTCTGTTTAGGGAATTTTATTCCGATCAATATACAACCAAAAATAACTGTGTGCATCAAGTATAAACTTGACAAACATAACAAAAGTAAAAACATTTCGTGTGTGTTTGACGCTCGCTGATATGTTCCAGCGTTGTTTTATATTTGGCGCTATTCTAACTTACGCTTTGTTGATATTTTTTACCTATGGGCACATAGAACATTCTATTGCGAACACATTGACACAAAAATGAATGACGTACATAGAAAATTAATGTCATGAGAGTGAAATAAGTATAAACTTTCAAAGCGCCGTGCGTCGTCCCGTCACCGATACCGGGTAACAATTTCACCAGTTCCCACACTCTTGCGGGCGGGCCGCAATCATTATTCTACGCTTATATTCATATCACCGTGTTGGGAATTTCATTGCAAATCCATTGATACCAAAATTAACGCTGTAGAACAAGTGTGGAGGTGATTACAATCCCAAGAGTAAAAACATTTTGTTGCTGATGGGCGCTCACGGCGAGTCATCTTCATAGTTATTTATTTGGTGCTGGTATCCCTATACGTTTCGTGACTTTTTTTACTGATGTTCTTCTAGAGAATTTTATTGCGAACACGTTGGTACCAAAATGAAATACGTAGCATGAGAACTAAGGTCAGAAGAGTAAAAAGAGTATACACATTTTTGTTTTTACGCTTAAGCGATAAAAACGCAGCGCGCACATTCGGTTGGCTGAGTGACCTTTGCGGAGAGCGCGAAAGTGTTAACAGGCATACAAATTTTGATTGACCATTGCACCAATATGATCATGTTGCTCATCAATTTATTATAATTTCTGACAGGTGGCGGATGTTATAACCCGAAACGCTACTGGTATTTCTGCGAATCGTAGGCAGCAGTTACGAAGATATGTTTGTTCTCTGAAAGGGAAAATTCATGATGTAGTACTTGATACATTATCCCAGGATCTTCAGACAGCAAGTGATGCTGATATAGATAATTTAATACAAGTAAGTCCATATCACTGATTTAACAATAGTTCAGCTTTAATTACTTTGTAGGAAATATTTACCCTTGAAATGTGCATATAATTTTAAGATCATGATGGTGTGCATATTAATCTAAAACGTTTTGAGTACACGAGTTTTGCAACATTTGGAACTTCCATGGGGTACAGAGGGTTTCACTAACTTGTCTAGTAACTCTTCTTTCATTATTTCTTCAGTGAAACCGTCACAATTTTTGTCACGTTGACAGTGCATGTTCAGTCAAGTCCACCATTGTTATGATTTTTGTCTTTCTGGTTTCCCTTGCTTTAGATTTTTTTTTTTCTTCTAATATTCATAGCTTTCCACCTTCTATTACTGATATTGTATATTTATGGTATCTAGGGCACCACTTGTGCACCTCATTCTTACACTACTATATGTGCTTCAAGGATATTATGAAGATACTCTCATGATAAGTCAAACCATTATATACTTCATAGTGGATGTAGGCCCCCCCTGAATTTTTGTTTTTGTTTTTTATTAATTTGAGGAGGGGAAGGGGTGTTGCCTGGGGTCTGGTGGAATCAACGAAATCCCTTATGGAACGAATCGGTCTCGCTCAAGCTTCGTTCGTTCAAGCCGTAATGCGTGATTTATCCTACTGTATGCACATTTCATGAGCTATAGGGAGATGTGGTCAGTCTGCATGCAGTAGTAGAAGTAGTGACAATTTTTATGTATGGTTGAAAGAGTGGTATAGTATTAACATGAAAAATCAAGAGTTACAGTGATGATCTGAGAAGCATACGTGTTTGCGTTTGGATAGTAGAATAAGAATGTCATGGAGAGATTTGGAGTACAAAAGTTAATGAACCACAAGATCAAGGAGAATATACCGAGATGGTATAGGATTGAATCGATGATGGTAGACTGGTGAAGTGTGTGTATTAAGGTAAATTTACTTATAGAAGGAGAAGATGAAGATTTTGTGCCAAATTGCCCTCATTTTTATTAAACTGACAAATACCTTTGTTTAGCAATTTTACATGTGAGATTAAGTATTTCATGGCTTGCTTTGATCAAGAAGTGTGCACCAGTGAAAGAACCAAAGTATGAAAGACATACTGTACAGACTCCTGACTGCTGCTGTGAATGCACATACAAAGAAGAAATGTTCACGATTATTGGAACAGACACCATCTCCACAGCCCACATGTTCAGCGCGCTCACACAACTCGAGACAAATATTTGCTTCTAAGCTACCTATACATTGAGGAAAATGGTGCACCCATTTCATGACAAACTAAAAAAAATCAGGACAATACCGCAAACCTTTATGAAAAAACTTTAACTTCGTGTACCTGACTCAATTGTGCTTGCATTCAGCCTATCATTGGGTATTTGGGAAAAACCTGTCATAGATTTGTAATAACACTAATCAGCATATTAGGTACAGTAGAGTACAGTATGTAGAAAAGATATTTTTACTTAAAAAGAGATTAGGGGCTTTCCTGCCTTACCTCATTATAGTGGACAACTTCCTCAATTTGGAATATTGGTGCACTACTGCTCAAAATTCACAAATATATTTATTAGGCAAGCTTTGCTTTCTTTCTAATGTACATACAATAGACAAATCATATATAATCATCTTAGTACCAAAATGAAAAAAGTAAATTATTCGCTGCAGATGGTAAATTCAGGTAAATATGATCTGTATTAATTATGTTGCACTGTATTACTTATATTGGAGATATGTTGGCAAAGGAGAATGTGGCTGTAATCATCAATCACCACCATGAAAGTAAATCACATCTAGCTGAGATTGGGGTATTATTGCAGATGGATGACGACTTTCGTCATCTACAAAATTGTAGGTGGACCTCTCTTGGTGATCGTGAACGACTGCAAGGACTTTCAGGAGGATTTATTGGCCGAATCTTTTATCAACGCTGGAAGAATTGCCAGGCTGAAGAAAATCATCTTGTCAAGTTGCAGGATGATAGAGTGTCTAGTTCGCAGTCTCCTGATAAAGGTTTGTGATGTTCATACTGTGTAAGTAATAAGTTCCTGTTACAGTTGACCAGGTCCACACACTAAAAGGTGAAGGGACGACGACGTTTCAGTCTGTCCTGGACCATTCTCAAGTCGATTGTGAATGCACATACATTCTCAAGTCGATTGTGAATGCACATACATTCTCAAGTCGATTGTGAATGCACATACTGTAACATTCTGTTACAGTATCATGTATTGTATTCATTAGGGAAATTGACTAGATTAGATGTGTAATTATTTTCATAAAATAATGATTTTCTGAAATTTAGCAGTACATTATTATAAGCATGCATTAACCCCTCAAATGCCCATGACAATCAGGGATGTTTTCTTCCTATATGATCACACCCCGAGACGGTGAGGGATGTTTTAAAGCACTGTGTAAGATTTAAACCTCATGCGGGTAAACGGGGCCCACATCTGCTTCATCAGGCCTCCAGTGAACAGACACCATCCCATCTTGGAAAAATTCATGGCACCCCTCCTGGGTGTGAGGGTCTCAGTACTGAGAGAGCAACCATAGATAGTACATGCAGCAGCAGCTTACAGCACTGCCAGCTGCTCATGTCCACAGCATCACTTAAGAATGATGAAATAAATAAGTAACATTAATGATGATTGTGACATTCAAAATCCTGGCTGTGATAAAGACTATGTACATGGTTCAGACATCAGTGTACTCGCTGCAGATTATGAGGGTCGCAACAAGAGGCAGACATCAACAGTCCATAGCCAACATTTGCTACATAGCCTTCCCGGCTTGGGGCCTTCTTTTGATAATTACTTACTTGCAGCATCTATGCATCATGAATTGGGACCTCGTGTTCCCTTAGAAAATGAACATGTGGAAAATTATTCATATTCAGAGTTTAGTGACCAGTATTCTGATAATAGCAGTGGTGAGACTAGAGTTAGCAATATGCATAGAATATTTGGAGGCACTTTGTTTTGTCAGGTGCCATCGGCAACTGACTAGTGTGTGGCGCTGTGCTGTGCTTGGATTATGATATTACTGCACCCACCTGAACTGCTTAGTGGTTTTTAATAGTGCATAAAAATGTCAGTAAATAGTTATAAATAATGTGTATACAGTACAATAACATATAAAGTGTGTATTAGTGGCATGAATATATGTGCATATCTATGTTTTACACATTCTTTGATACAAATAACATTATTGCCAGCCCAATGCATCATAGCATTTGAAAAAGTAAAAGCACTAAAACTACAAAGAAAATATAATATATTCAATGTATGCAATTATAACTTGGTACAAAATATATGAGGCTAGACAGAACTCTGGTCAGTACTTGACACCTCAGTGAATTAGAGGTGCCTGGTTTCTCAAGCCTCTTCCTCTAACTGATTCCCAAATGGTTACTTTTTTTCACAAATATTCAGTGTCTTACACCCATTTTCTGTTTTTGAGTGGGGAAAGTAAGGGGGGTTGCCTTTCCCTCCCCAGGGGCCAGATTCACAAAGCAGTTATTCAAGAACTTACGAACCTGTACATCTTTTCTCAATCTTTGGTGACTTTGTTTACAATTTTTAAACAGTTTATGAGCTCTGAAGCTCCAAGACTTCAATTTATGGTTCAGTACTTAGTACTTACATATACAGTGACCACTTCCCTGAAGATCATTATTCAGTATCAGTCTGTAGATCCAAGCTTGGCAACTGCTTCAAGCTCTTACTGCTTTCAATATTTTTACCAAATGTTCAACCAATAGACATGGCAGTCGGAACAATTTTGAACTCCAAAGTCAAGAAAAGTCAAACTTCTAAATGTCCATTAATATGTACTATATCACCTACCAGCAATTCTTCTCAGTGCTCTTTATTACTCTTCTTTAGTTTTGAGGTATGATTCTCTGTGGCCACACAGACAGCTCAAACCCAAATCAGGGTCATTTCTTTTGCAGATAGACATTTGGTCCCATTTCCTTGCATGTGATGCTTGTGTTCTAGCAATACATAGGTACCTGGGAGGTAGGCAACTGTTGTGTGTTATATCCTGTTGAGGTTAGTCATTAGCTGAGCGCCTCTACTTATAGTTACCTGTGATTTAAAAAGAGGACTTTTAGGAGTATGAATATTTATGATGGGTCTTGTGTACATCATCTTGAACTAGATTAAGGTTTTTTTTCTCAAATGACTAGCGTCCTTAACCCTTGCTCTGCATATGCCATCCTCAGATGTTTGACCCATCTGCACATACCATCCCGAGATATTTTTAGGTATCCCGCATCAATTTTTAATAACTTTCAGATTATTTAACAGATTGATGACCAAACCACACACTAGAAGATGAGGAGACGACGATGTTTTGGTCAGTCCTGGACAATTATCAAGTAGATTGTCGACCATTGTCAAGTCACACAATCGACTCGATAATGGTCCAGGATGGACCGAAACAGTCATCTCATCTTCTGGTGTCTGGTTTGGTCATCATATTTTCAGCCACATTATTGTGACTCATCGTTTGCATATTCAACAGAGTGTCCACCCACCCCTGGAAACCTTGAAGGACAAGAGCTGGCGCCTGGAACAAATTGTAAAGTTCTAGCCAAACAAGCACATTCAACTATCCAGAAGGCTGTGTCAGATCTTAACGAACCTGTAAGTTACTATATGTTTCTTTCATATTTTAACATGTTCTTTATTGTTAGTAAAATTGTATCAGGTTCTTGATTTTTTTTGTTCTGCTAGGAAACAATTATTTATTAAATTATTAAATGACACGGGAAAATGAGAAGACATTTTATATATATATATATATATATATATATATATATATATATATATATATATATATATATATATATATATATATATATATATATATCTTTTTATATAGGTTCTATGTTTTTTCTATCTTATAAAATTAGCTAATGCATAATTTTTCACTGATGAGTAGGATGGCAGGGTCTTCTTCCTCCAACTGTTCTTAGGCTTTGTCTTCCTCCTTCTTTATCAATGTTTCACTTCTTTGTATTAGAGATGATTGTGTGTTGAGTGACTCATTTATTATAGAGCAGTAGATCAAGGCTGTGTAGTGTCCTAAAGGCACTGTTCCATGTTTTTAATACACAGAGTTCCGAGAGAATACAAACGATGATGAAATTCATCATCGTTTGATGATGAAATCAAACATCGAGAGGAACGAGTCAATTCCTTCTGGGAGATCATTTCCATATATCAGAAACAGTATAGGTCCAAGGACTGATCCCTGACTCCCCGCCACTCCGTGACCTCACCCCTCACAGTAACTCACTGTGTCCTGTTGCGTAGGGACTCCCTTATCCAGTGGAGTACCTTCCCATTCACTCCTGCCTGCATCTCCAGTTTGTGCACTAGCCTTTTATGTGATACTGTGTCAAAAGCTTTCTGGCAGTCCAGAAATATGCAGTCTGCCCAGCCCTCTCTTTCTCTTGCCTGATTTTTGTTGCCTGGTCATAGAACTCAATTAAACCTGTTAGGCATGATTTGCCATCTCTGAACCCATGCAGCTGATGTGTTACAAAGTTCTTTTGCTCCAGATATTCCACTAGCTTTTTTCGCACAATCTTCTCCATCTTGCATGGAATGCAAGTTAGGGACACTGGCCTGTAGTTCAGTGCCTCCTGCCTTTCACCCTTCTTGTATATTGGGACTACGTTGGCCGTCTTCCAAATTTTTGGCAGTTCACCTGTTAAAAGTGATTTGTTGTACTCCATGGAGAGTGGCAGGCATAGAGTTTCTGCTCCTTCCTTTAGAATCCATGGTGAGATTCCATATGGGCCTATAGCCTTTGTCACATCCAAATCTAGCAGATGCTTCCTCACCCTCCCACTGGTAATCACAAACTCCTCTAGTGGTGTCTGCTTTGATGTTCCCCCTAGTGAATCTTTTTGCCCCTATCCTCAGTTTCATTACCTGTTCCTTCACTGTTGTTTTCCTCCTGATGTGGCTATGCAGCAGTTTGGGTTGCCTTGCTTGCTATGTCATTTTCATATTGCCTCTCTACCTTTCTTCTCACCCTGACGTATTCATTCCTGGCGTTCTGGTATCTTTCTCTGCTCTCTCATGTTCTGTTGTTTCTATAATTTCTCTATGCCATTTTACTTAGTTTGCTTTGCTAGCTTAGCAAAGTGCTAAGAGGGGTCTCCTTGGTGATCATCAAGTGTTGCTAATGAGCATGTGCATTGTTTGTCAAGGTTGCCAATGTTGTCCATGTAGGGGTTGTATTGTTGCACTGTCCTTTTGATGGTGGTGTCTAGTACCCCAGATTACTTATTGCCTTGCCTCTATTGAGGGTGGTGGCCAGATTTTGGTACAGGATCAATTCCACCACTGTCCTGCTCTAAAGATTTGCTCATAGATACATAATGTTATTGTGATTTCATTGTGATTATTTATGTACAAGTCAAGATGGTTTATCATATTTTAGGTAAATGCAACTAATGCTTTTTATTTTTGTTTTCAGTGTGAGTGGTTAATGGAGCAGTACCTGGACCTTGAGTGTGAGCTGTATGGTACCGAGACAGCTGTTAATAAACTTGAGGCATACGTAGAGAAGAATACTGATCATTTGCCTGCTCATCGATTTTCATATCATTTTTATAAGAATAAAGTTCCAAATAGCAATAAAAACCAGATCAAAGCACTTCAGGTAAGTTAATTTGTTAATGTTTAGAATGCACATTTAAATAATTTACAAATACAGTACAACCTCCATTCAAGGCACTATATGGGACCAACCCCAGTGCGTTGCAAGGTTGGATTCGTTGCAGGAGGTGTTTGTCAGTTTTTTTCTTGTAAACCATAAAAATGCATTATCATATGATATACTATACCTATATATTACTACTATACAAAATACTGTTACAGTTGTTATTTACCTTATTGTTGGAGTTAAGTCCATCTTGAAGTCTCATGGAGTTGTGAATGTTGTACAATAAATACCTACTGTAGTGTATTATGCTGTTAGCACTATTGATTAAGTAATTCTGCTGGATGTTGAGTACTACAATTCAGTTTATGAAAACTATTTTACACTAAAATTACTGTACTGTAACCTTAATTATAACACTAACACTATGTACCTAAATTAAACACACATTCTAACTGTACACACGATGTTCTTAGATGTTTGCGTCAGCTTTGCTGGTGCTCGCTGCTGCTGTGTTTGCTTCAGCTGCTTCTGAGCTGGTGCTAGCTGCTGGGTACGGCTGTGCTGGTTGATTTTCTGCTACTATTGCTTGCAAAATATTGGATCATTTTCGTTTGTGTCCTTCGTTCTGTCATCTTGAGACAAATATCTTTCGTCGTTCTTAAGTGTTGATAGAAGCCTGGTAGTTCTGGATTATCAGTTTGTGAAACAAACTCAAGGAGTTTATCAACCTTAAATAATGTGTGACGGTAACGCGTTGGTGTTCGGCTGTTTCAAAAGCTAGGGGTATGGCCTCGTCACATAAAGGAAAAAAAAAGAAAAAAGCTGGAACTTTCGTCTGTGGTAAGGTAATGGGAAGACACACAAAACACAAGTAAATTTAACAATGAAATTTTAATTACGTTAGAAAAGCAAAACATGAATAAAATTGGACATAAAAATTGTAACAGATAAATCAATCAAACAAAATAATAAGAATAATCACTGGCAAATGAAAAGTTACGTTAATACAAGTGAATAATAGCAAAGTAAATATATTAGTGCAGGAATATTGGCTTCAAGCTGCCACCTCCCTTAGTACACGTAAGCCAAGGCTTAGTCTACCAATGAGACGTGTTAACTTGTGTGGAGCACGATATATTCTGCCTTCCCTATGTCGTGGTAGCTCAGACATCAGCTCGTGTGGCGGGTGGTGGGAGCAGGTGCGACGGGCACCGGCCAATCAGCGATAGACAGGCGATGGACAAGCAGTTTGCCGGTTTAACGGTGGCGGAGGTGAGCAGGTGTCCCGGTGCTGGATACGTTTGCTCTCTGGGCAAAACTTGGTGTTGTACTTGTTGGATATATCTTCTATATTAGTTGTTACTGGGACGTAGTTTGGAGGATAGAGCAGGCTCAATCTCTCTTGAAAGAGATTATCGTCACAAATGCATCACCTAATGTGTCAGATTTTAACATGCTATCATGCTCTTCTCCCTCTTCGTTGTCCTCGTCAAGTGTCAGTAACATTTTGGATTATCTTCTGTTAAATAACCAATGGGTGGATCGACTGCATCAATATCTAACCACTCTTGAACATCATTCTGAGTCACCTCCACCTCGCCATCCTCACGTAATTCTTGATCAATTTCATTTGAAAATCCTTCAAAATCCATTTTTTCCTCGGTCACTTCATCAGCATTATCAAGCAATGGATTTTTTTCCAACAATTTCTTAATGTTGACTCTTTAACTTCATCCCAAACTTTAGCCCAGTTGTAAATTGCTTCCTTAATTGAGTATTTTTTGTAATGTTCCAGTGTTGCTTTATCTCAGGAATTGGTTCTTTGTCTTTTGAGTCTTAAACCTTTGCAACCATCCTTCACTTGCTCGAAAATCTGGAATGTTCGTCTTTGGTGCAAATTTATCTGCGGCAATCTTAATGGGGTCGCCACCAAGTGGCATTCCCACAGAGCGTTCCTGGTTAAACTATTTATACACAGCTTCATCTAATTTCATATTTATAGAACCTTTTAGCATTTTTCTTTTATTTAATGCACCACTATCACTTGCAGCAAGGAACTTTGTAATATCTTTGTCTCTTGATATCACACACTACTTTTCCCGACATTAAATTCTATTGCCAGCCTAGTAACAAGTAGCCAGGTTCGTGTTTCTCTATTTAGTTTAATTTCTGCTCAGTGAATAAAAAAACTCCTCTTCCTCTTGGTAGATATGGCACGATTAGCAAACCCCTGAGACATCTTGTTGTATAATAATACAGTTGTAGTCAAAAAAGGGTAAATTCCACGATTATTCTTCCACCGGTGGGCACACACGTCACTCGCAGACAAAGCTAATGGCATTGGGTGCCTACTGTATGAACGCAGACTAGATACATACACCCTACATTAGGCTCGTGTTTAAGCCAGGTCCAGTAACATAAATTTCTCTCAAATATTGGATTTACATCAAGTTGTGTATATATTTGGGTTATATATTTAGTTTAGCAACATTATTAGGATAAAAAGAGCTGTAAATTTTTTTTATTTAAGAACTGATTTATTAATTTTATTATTCAAGACAGTAGGTCACTGAACTGTGGCGACGAAATCGAATGAAACATGCATAGTGCTGTGTGTACACAGATTAGACCTGTCCACTCACACTGGAGTTGTTGTGCCATGTAAATAATTTCTCAAATAGCAGATGTCTATCATATTACAGTATAATTTGGGTTTTACTGTACTGTACAGTATTTAGGTTAGTTTAATTAGGATAATAAAGGGCTATTAAAAGACCAGTTTTAGAAAGGATTTATTATTCTGAAACTTTTAAAAGTTATGAGTCGCCGAACTATGACACAAGACGAAGGAAAACAAAGTGAGGTTTACAGTACAGTATTCCCTTATCTGTCCACCCTCACTCATCTTGTTTCATCAAAGATAATGTATACAAGAAGATTTCAAAACAGTAGCTAGCTATTGATGCTTCAGCCTTTAAATTAATCTACAAAGATACATGTGCCACAAATCGGTGAACGAAAATCATGGAAACAGTCATTCACTTGTGTGGACCACTTTGGTTGGAGTTTGGTTAATATGCTTCACTTGTTGTGTGGACCATTCTGGCTGGTGTTTGGGTCACTAGTTGTGTGGTTCACTTGTGTGATCCAACTTGTCATATGAAGGAATTATTAATTGTAACCTGTGATAGAATGAGACAGTTTTCCACCAGTCTGTGAACTCTGTCTCAACATCGTAAGCAATTCCGCACATTCCCCGCTTCGGCGAACCATTGTTCATTGAAACGGGTGAGTAAATCCGTCCTGAAAAGTGTGCAACCTAGCCAGAGATGCGGCGAATTAAGGTTGTACAGTGTGTGTGTGTGTGTGTGTATATAAAATATATAAGCATTAAACTTATTCAATTACTGTACAGTATTTATTTTCTTTATAGAAAATCTCCAAGATGTGTTCGGATGATCCTCTTGTGCTGGAATATGTTGATCTTATCCTGAAAAGGGGTAAGTATTATACAGTACTGTTGTTTCATTATTCACATTTAACATGAATATTTCATAAAATTTCAAAATTGAAGTTTGTCACTGTATTGGTAAATTCAATATATCTGTAGTGCACAATCTTTCTTAACCCATAACATGCAGCTATTCCAAATGTCTGCCCGTGTGCAAAAAATAAACGCAAATCCAAAGAATATTTTTTCCTTGTGGAATGATTCAATTGGATGCAAAGTGTAAGGGAACGTAGAATCAAAGTAAATATCTACATCTATACTGGTTTGGCAAGCTGTAGAAGATTGCTGGGTGGCAGGCCCAGCTGGCATCGATCAACTCCAGATTTGAGATTTGCTAACACAGTGGCAGGTGACTCCAATGTTCACCTTGGAGACCTAGAGCTTACCTGTAGAGGGTTTCAGTTGTTGTTCTACTCCCCGAGTCCAGCCTGGGGCCAGGCTTGACGGATGTATCTACAATCAGTTTTACACTTTCTGGTTCATTCACTATTGTCTGTTGAATAACTAGATCAATGTGCATGTGAATTACAAAAATATGGATTGAATTCATTGCTAGGTATAAGGATAATGTACTAGACCTAAAATGTGTGTGTACATTAGTGTGTAAAATTTGTGTGTACAAAAAATCCAGCGTTGAATGTAACGAAACACCATTTTCTGGGTGAGACCCAGATGCTCCCCGGAGCTTACTAGTCTGATATGCTAATGTCAGACTTTGGTATCAGTATGCCAAAGGTTCTGGCTCGTGGTCCCTGGTAGGCCCACAGAACTCTATACACATGACTGATACCAAAGTCTGACATAAGGATATCAGACTAGTAAGCTCCGGGGAGCCGAAGCGGCTCCCACCAGTAAAGTATATTTGTGGGAGTGCTTAGAAATAAATAGAAGCTGTCCGGCATGTGCCAAAGACTTTCTACAAATTCCTTTCTTATTTTTGAACATTCATACTCTAGACTTGCTACCATCCTGATGCCTATGTGATATCTCTTTTACTGTGAAGATAAAAAAACAGCAATATTCTTCAGAATATCAGACACTTTTTCTTATTTTTTACTCATTGACCTCAACACCTGGACATTATACTCCACTTTTCTAATTACCCCTGTTTTCTGTTTGTGATGTTAGCACTGTATATTTCCTCTACTTTAGATCACTAGTAGAAGTCTTTGATGAACACAGTCTTTACTGTAAGTCAATATCCTGAAAGGATGTTTTGTATTGTTTGTATCTAATCCAGGGAAGATAGTTCTTGAAGAAGATAATTGTTCTTGATAGAAGATAATTCTATGCCAAACACAAAACACGTAAGACTCCCTCTTTCGTGGAACACATGACTATTGGATGTGCATTGACCAATTTATAACTTGTACATGGCTTGGCAGCTGACTTGAAAATTTGAGATAATTATGCTACTCGGAATCTGGAGTTTGAATAATAGGGGGTTGACTTGTTTTATAGTCAATGTGTATGCAAGTTATGTGCTTTAATAGAAGCCATAATGCGGTTACATTATTTGTGTTTGCTTATTGTCTTATTAACTTTTGCATTTATTAATTTGTTCCACATTTTCTTTTAGCTGAACATGATATATTTGTGCCTTATGGTCAGCAAGAAGATGCAGACAGTGATAGTGGCCTTGATGCATGGGAAAATGTTGAAACAAGGCCCATTGCCAAGAAGGAAAATACACCACCCTGCTTCCTTAAGTCAAGTAAATACACCTTTTTTTTTTTTTTTTTTTGTAAAATTTTCATTCATAAGTTTAGATGGATATAAACCTTTTGGAGTTCAATTCATAAACCTCAAAGAATTTATTCCTTTAATAATAAAAAATAATCCAGTAGAGTATTAAGAATAATTGTGAGGTCTCCCAACTGATTATCTTAATTGGATCCGAACTCCATTTACTGAATAACCAATGCAGAAAATCCAACTATTTGTTTACACTATATAGATAGTGGACACACCACAATGATCAGGAGGAATGGATGATATTGTAACATGGAAGGTAAGACATGCATGCATCATTGTTACGCGAGCCGGTCGGCTGAGCGGACAGCACGCTGGACTTGTGATCCTGTAGTCCTGGGTTCGATCCCAGGCGCCGGTGAGAAACACTGGGCAGAGTTTCTTTCACCCCTATGCCCCTGTTACCTAGCAGTAAAATAGGTACCTGGGTGTTAGTCAGATGTCACGGGCTGCTTCCTGGGGGGTGGAGGCCTGGTCGAGGACCGGGCCGCGGGGACACTAAGAAAGCCCCGAAATCATCTCAAGATAACGCCCCCAACATTGCTGCAACTACGACATTCAACACTGTTGCAATTTTTAGTAATAGACAAAATAAACCCAGTGCTACTGTTCTTCTTGGATCAAGATACAACTATAATGGACTTAACAGAAAACTTCTATTTAAAATAATTGAAATAGTATAACTTCATGTATTTTTGCCAACAAAAAAAATACAAAAAATAAAGTTCCTTTCAGAAATGGCCTCACAAAGATAAATGGTTTTAGGAATATTTGCAGATATCCATATTAGAGATTACATGAATTATTGTTTAGTTTACAAATTACAGTGCAGTTTCTGTGTACAGTGGAACTTCAGTTTTCCTGCAGAACATTCCCATCTTTTCTGGTCAAGAACTAGCCTCTCCTACATAAGTAGTTTTCTGTAATGGGATATTGATGGTGGTGTTTGGTAGTCAAGAAATTAATAAAATTTAGAATGGCGATAAGAGGAGGTTCTGAAGGATTAGACTGTTAAATAAGTGTGTGTATAAATTTAATATAGACCTGTGGCAATGAATTCCAGAGACAAATAATATTGAAGAAAATTGTCATTAATGTTCATTCCAAATAAGTAAGTTGAGAGGAAACATAAAAAGATTGTTTAGGTAATGGAAGGTTGTTTTGACTGTTTACTATACTGTACATTAATATCCTTTACAATTTGTACAGATGAAAATGTCAATGCCTTGAAGAGCTGTCTCCATCTTCTTACCACAATGTTGGAATATAAGGAGCTAATATGGAATCTTCAACCATGGCAAAGACTGACAACCATACTTCGAAGATTTTATGTAGCGTGGTTAAGGTATGTATTCTAGTTATAGTACTCTATTCCTTTTATTGTGTTTTAAAGTATTGTACAGTTGACTCTAAATATATTTCTTACTTGTGTTGGTTCCAGGAATCAATGTCCAACTGGCCTGGCCTCTGACCAGGCTTTCTGATATATGAATCACAGACAGATTTAATCTACGTTGCAACTACTGTATACCGTATACTGCAGCAAATGATTGCAGCTGTCCAGCTGTTTCTAGTTGGATGGCAAATCATTTGCAAATTCCAATTTGCTTTGGTAGTTTGATGACCTCTTTAGGGGTCTGCAAGCAGGTTTTTTCAGTGCTTCTTTGCTGTATGTTAGGTGTTTTTTGCCATATGTTTTGTCCTGGTATCAGTTCCTAGGCTCTTGGCTTTTAGGCTTATCACAATATCTGCACTCTTCTAGTTTTTCATTCAAGCACTTTCATTTATAGTCAGCTCTTGTGCCACCCTGCTTGGGGGCATGAAGTTCTGGCCTTGTCAGTGGTTGATGGGGTGTACTTTCCTGACAACCTATTCCATTGGCATGGGTTTCTTGGTACTTCAGCTACTGGTAATGTGGTGGGGTGGAGGGTTGCATGATGTTCTCTTGCCCTTAGGCCTGTTCTCTTTGCAAGTCCTTGACTGTTTGCTCAGGACTTTTATTGGCATGGTTTTTGCTGGGGGATTTTCCTTGTAATTAACTAGTTGTATTTGCATCATCCTTCATGTCCTTTGGTGGCAAGTCATCAAGCTTTACTCATTCCATCAGGACCTTATTTCTGTGCCCTGTTCTTCTATACAATATTCGTGTGTTTTTCCCATATATTTAAATTAATTTAGGCCTGTCTCATTCAGGGTCATGAACTGCAGGCCTTTGTTTTTTTTTTCCTGGATGGCCATGGCCCTCCCTCCCCAAAGCACAACCACCAAACCAACACCCAACTTCCCAACTTCCATCACTTCTATCCCTCCCACCATTAAGTTCTCATCCCTGCCCTGGACACCTATAACCTACTTCACTTCCCTCCCACCTTCCCTCTAAAAGATTTCCCAACACCCACACACCCAACCACCTGTTGTATTAGTAACTCATTGCCAACTTGATGCTGAAACTGGCTTCACTCCCAACCAGTCATACACCCGAACTACTCAAACTCACTCCAAAACTCGATTCAATCCACTCATTAACACCAAATGACCATGCGCCCACCCAGAATATGCCCACAATACCCACCATGTGGAAAATACTGGAAGGCCAGGTCCCATATTTGCACAGTAGAATAACGACATGCTGAAGCAAATGATATGGTAGGAAAAACAGAATGGCCCCAATGAAGTGTATAGGTGACATGGAAACTATTAGAGAACACTGTATGAATGTCAGAGATCTTCAGCTGTTCAATATCTTCCCCAGCAAATACAAGGAAGTGCCTGTATAAGAAATATTCCCGAAAAAAAAGTGGACTTCTTGAAGAAAAATTAGTCGCATTCAAAAAGTGCTGGACCAACTTGGTTGTAGTGGATCTGTGGGCCTGCAGGCTGGTCTAAGCATCAGTATTGAACCAAGCTCTCACAAGCCAAGCATCAAGTGTGCATAATGCTTGGTCACAAGCATGGAACAATTCCATTGTGGACATGGAGACGCTGGCTAACCGGGTTCAAATCCTTCAACAGTCAAGAGTTTTTGTATGTATTCGCCTAGTTGTGCTTGCGGGGGTTGAGCTCAGCTCTTTCAGTCCGTCTCTCAACTGTGACTTAACTACTAACTTTTTTTTTTCTCTCCACACACACCCCTTCCCCCCAGGAAGCAGCCCGTAACAGCTGTCTAACTCCCAGGTACCTATTTACTGCTAGGTAACAGGCATCAGGGTGAAAGAAACTTTGCCTATTTGTTTCTGCCTGGCCTGGGAATCGAACCCGGGCCACAGGATTACGAGTCCTGCGTGCTGTCCACTCAGCGACCAGACCCTCCTTAATGTATGTTTATATGTACAGTGCAGAGGGGTAAGGGTAGCAAGGTGGATTTTGAGATAGCTGATAAAGGGACAAGGCAGGTCCTTGGCGACCAGCTAAGTACCTTCCTTAATTTGCTGTAAATATTGAAATATTTAGTATTGCAAAATAATTTTTCTAGCTGAAATGTATTTGAGAATTTTACTAAGATGATTTGTACTTTTTAATTTAGGTGTTGGTCCTGTTCACTATGCAAGAAGTCTCGTACATTAGTAGATGCTGTTGGACAAAGAATGACAGCTTTGTGGAGACACTATGTTTGGACATCACCACCAGCACTTATTCCTCTGGAGAAGGCCCAAGTTCTTTTTCATCATGCTTATGCAGCTTATATTTTTTGTTACAGTATGTATTTTTTTGGTGCAGTATGTATTTTTTGGTGCTTGGTGTAGTGTAGTGCATTTGATTTGTTTTTTAAAAGGGTGATTGTACCTCTCAAGAATCTACGGGGTAGAATAATGAAAGTTGAGGAACTGAGTGAGAGAAAACTGGTAAGTGATTACAAGGAAAGAATTGATGATCTTAGAGACGATGAATATTTGTAAGATTTATAGAAAAAAATTTGGTTAGGAAAACCAAGATGTGTGGCATGGTGCAGTACAGGCTTCTGCCATCTTCAGCTGTAATCAGTGTAGAGGCTGGGGATCCTCCTCTCATGAGGTAGAGATTGAGACTATAATTTTTGTGACTTGAGCTAAATTCATGACTCTTGCTGCTGCTCTGTCAATTCTACTGATTTGGCTGCTTGCTGGTCTTTAGGACTGACCTCTGCTCATTCGATCACCTGGTTCGACCTCTGGTCTTTCTACCTCCTCTTTCAACTTCTTCATACGACCTTTGCTCTTTCTGCCTCCTCTGCTGAAAAATAAATTTAATTTATCTTTGGCCATTATAGTAGTAGACAGTTGGAACAAGTTAAGTGAGGTGGTGGTGGATGCCAAAACTGTCAGTAGTTTCTTTGGGTCATATAACAAGATTACTGGGTAGACGGGGTCACCACGAGCGTAGCTCATTTCATGTTTTAATTTGTCATTATATTTAGCAGGTACAGGTAGCACCTTATTAATATCCCCCTTGTTATACCCTTGCATCCATTTGTATATGTCAGTCATGTCAGTTTACTTTCTCTGACCAGCTATATCAAAATGTCTAGATTTTTTCACAATTGCAACCATGTCAGGTTGCTTTCTGCAATTTAGTATTACTTGAAGGCTAATTATCCTGTAACTGTATATATAAAATGCTGCCTGTGATTGAAAGAATGTAATATACATCAATCTTAAATCATCATTTACCCATTTCTTATTTTTCTTCAGGTGTGGACTATATATTAGAAATCAAAAGTGCCTTGTTTTCAAATGGCTACAATAACTTAGCACTTGAATTGGAAGATTCTATATGTTATCCTGGTCCTTTCTTGAAGAAATTCATCTGTTACTCAGATATTAAAAGAACAAGGTAAGTAATGGAATATTGTACAAAATTTGGCAAATTTGGCTTGGCTCTTGAAGGGGAAGGGTGGCCTCTCGGTATTTTCCTGACAAGCACATACCAGAGATCAGTACCAAAACCAGGTCCACTCAGTAGGGGGAAAGTGGGAGTGTAAACTTAGGATCATTACAGTAACCCAGAGAAAAGACCACCAAAAAGGGTAGAATGCAAAAGAAACAGATTACTGCACACATTACAATTGCAACACTGATCCTAACTATGTAAAGAATTGCTCTGGGTCACTTACTGGTTTGTATTGTTTTCTCATCACCAGATGGAAGCCCTGAAGGACTTTTATTTTGCATTAGTGCATTGGAGGCATTTTCTTACTGCCTATCATAATCTGAGCTTGATTTTTCAGCAGTCCTCCTTTGGATACGTTTTTATGTACCATTCTGTGTGTTGGATTTGCCTACTCTCAGGTTTGCTGATGGCTGCCTGTGTAGACTTACCTTGGTTTCTTGACCAGGACTGCATCAGGGACTGTCATGCCTGGTTGGTGCTAAGGCTGTCTTGGTCTATTGCCTGAATAGAGGGTATCCACTTCTGCCATTCATCTTTGAGAATAACTTAACATCTGATTCCTTCAGGATTTACTCCTCTGGGCAGTTCACATTTGCAGTCTTGAATGTGATCATGGTTGGTCCCTCCCACCTTCTGATTTAAACAGAATGGTTTGTGGACAGGTTATCCTTTAATTGGATATGCGAGACATTCAGGCATCCACAGGTGGTTCTTTTAGCCTCTGCTTGAACTCCTCAATTTTACTTCCTTGGTCACTGATCAGGTGGCCTTTGTGTTAGATGTATCCTGCCATAACTGGAGGCAATGAGAGTTCTGTTATCTCATTCTCATGCTCGTTTTTTTTTCTATCTAGGGTGTCAAGTTGTTTTGGACTGCATCATATGGCTAGCTATCATGTGGCCACTTCAACCTGAGCAAGGAACCCTGTTCTCTCATTGTTTTCATATGGTTCCAATCTTGAGACTACACCTCTCTCCAGTGATCAGTGGAAGAACCTCAAAGGTGTTCTAGGCTCTCTGCAGAACATCTTGTGTAGAATTTTTGACTGGCGGGCACTTTGATTTTTGAATCGAAGTTGTTTTAGGTGTATTGTTCCATGTAAATATTGTAGCCTCTAAATTGGTCAGCATGGTCAGGGACTCTCCTCTTGGGTTTCAATCTGGGTTTGTCATCTCCTTTTATCAGATTAGAGTCGACTTTTTCCTCTTAGTCATTCCCAGCCTTATCTTTGGTCCTTGGATAAGGATCTTGTCATTGCTACATTTTTATGGAAACGTTTCTTGAGGTTAACACACCTCAAGCCTTTTGTTAGTTTTTGGCATCTGGCCCATCATGTTTGCGAACTGCATATGATGAGTCAGAGGTGTGAATCCTTGGTCTTCAGTCCTAGGACATACTTGTCAAGATCCAAACACCACCTTCATTCTGACTTTAAATGAATCACTTGCTTCTTATTGTCTCTTTTTCACTGGTGCATCCTTAGTTTTCAGTCCTAGGACATACTTGTCAAGATCCAAACACCACCTTCATTCTGACTTTAAATGAATCACTTGCTTCTTATTGTCTCCTTTTCACTGGAGCATAGATTAAGTCAGGTAATCATGTCCTATCTCTATACCACTCTGTCCTGAGATATGCTGGTGCACTGGTAATTCTTTGGATCACCTATAGCCTAATCTAGTCAAATTGATGTATGTAAATTTCAGGATCATATAAAATGGCTCATGTCTTTTAATATATTTTCTTTGTTTAGGCTTCTTCATGTGGGAATGGAAACCACCTCCAGCAGTTACCTTTATAAGAAAGGAAGTTCTGAGCTGCACTTGATATCTTCTCCAGTTGAAGACACTAATGGTACTGAAGAATGTGATTCAACAGAATATTTTGAGAGTATGTGTGAAGAAAATGATAATGAAGGGACAAGGAATGATATAGATCCTTTATCTTTGAATAATGAAACTGAAGTGAACTTCACTACAGGTCTTGGGATTGACTTTCTGGAATTGCAGTGTTCACGACGTTTAACAAATTGTGAGGGTGGCAAAGATGTATCATTTAATGAGCAAGATATCATCACAAGTACTCAGATAAAAGCAGAACATGCGGTGTCCTCACTACCTTCTAATCTAGCTTTAAATCCTGCCCATAATGGAAGTTTTATTGGATTAATAAGTTGTGTGGCAGATGGTGACAGTTTACGTATGAAAAGCATTGGCAATGGTATTAAACCATCTGATAACCAGAAGAAAAGACTAAAGCATAGTGAAATTGAAACCAGTATTAGCATGGAAGATGTAAGCTCGGAAAATATTTCTCGAAACGCATTACTTCGTGTAATGGTGGACAGGAAAGACATGTTGAGTCTAGAGAGAAGAGAAAAATCCATTTCAAATAATATGGTTATTGTCGAGAGAGAATTAAGCCAGCAACAGCAGGTAAGTCACTGTGATCCAGTAATGTCTCGAAGGTTATGCTTTACGCTACAGAATGGTTCTCATGTAGATGATGTAAATAAGTTGTCTGAACCAAAAGAAAAAAATTCCAGAGAGAGTAAAGGTTTTTCTGAAGATGAGGAAATTAAATTGAATATGCATAGGAAAAGATCTAAAGCAGAAGCTATGATGGCCAATTCCCTGACCTCTCCAAATCTTGAGCATCAAAATAGAGACCTGGACATGAATTTTGAAGAAGATAAGACCTATGATCCTCAATTTCTTTACACATGCAGTTTCAACAATGATTCAAAGAATCTTGGAGATTGTGATTCCTCTAACGTTAACTATGATACTGCCAACAATACTAGTCAAGAAGTAAATTTCCCAGACGTGCCTATTGAGCCAGTTCTTGCTGAAAGTCAAGAGCCAGACATTCACACTGCAAATATATCTAACACTGCTAATTGTCAAGGCTGTGAACAGAATGTGCTTCATGACTGTGAAGTCACTAATGCAAGTCAAAATGTTAACATTTGTAACGCCAGCATTGACAAAGATCAGAATGATTTTGATAGAGATTCCAAAGGAAACTCTTTCTCATGTGGAGTATTAGAGGAGGATTTGGAAAATTTATTAACTTGTGGCCAGAGAGAGAGTGGACTTGGTGAGTATAAAGCAGAAAGTTCCCAAAAGCATGGATGTAGTCTTCCAGGAAATGCTGAAAAAATTGGGGAAGAGTGTGAGGATTTCCAACTTACACCATTGCCAACAAGTTTGTCTCCCGATGCCATTTTGCCCTGCACGCAAGAATCTGTTTTTAGAATTAATCTTGTGGTTGATGAAACACTTTCCCATATGGATGCAAATTTTATAGATGATGGTGTTCGTTTTGTTCCAGAAACCCAAAGTCAGTTCTTGACTGAGACTTGTGATAAAGATGGTGGCATTGGTGATGACTTGGGAAATATTAATTCCATGGGTGAGCCTCAATCAGAGGACAATACAAAGGAAAATATTCTACCTGGAACGCAACAGAATATAATAGCTGATTCACAGTACTCCTTGACTCCAGCTCAACGAGTACAGAGTTCTGACATTAAAGATGTGCAAGATATGGACCCCTCGCTACACAATATGAAAAACATGTATAATGCTGACTTTTGCAAAACCGAGGAAGAATTGGGTGCAGGTGATCAGCCAGATGAATCACTGATTATGGAAGATAGTAAAATTGGGATTTTGGATGACTCACTCCCTACAGCATTAGCATCAGTAAGTGTTCCTTTGAAACATAAGTCTGTTAATAATTACCATCTACCGGTCACTCCACCAGGCCAAAGGGCAAACTTGTTTAGTGATGATAATACAGATAAATTCAACTCTGCAAAGAGTGCAGTGGAAAGAATTGTGCATTCTCAGTGTCTTCGTACACCTCCAGTAGATGAAGATGACCAAAATGAATTTAGTGATAGCCAAGAATTTATAGGTCCCAGTCAAGATGAGATTACTACTGATGCATACAAAATGTACCGGCTTGATTTAAAAAATTCACACAGCAGTTTCTCAGCTGGAAGTACAGTGTCTGATAGTGTAAATGGAAGTGACACAGAGGTCACATCTGATAATGTTTATGGATCTCTTCCAGCAATGCAGGACATTTCTTTTTCACCTTCACAACAAACGGTTCAGACTCTCAGACCAAAAAGAGTTCAGACTGGCAAGGAAAACATTTTGGAGATAACTCCCTTATCTCAGATGGTTTGTGTAGTACAAGAGGAGGAGCTAGAACTTTTGTCCCATGATATTAATTCTGGTGACACAAATTGCAAGAAACCATCAAGTAATGGCAGCCTTGCCTTTGCTTCCAGTAGTGAAGTGGCTAAACTACAAGACCTTTTTTATCGCCAAGCAAGAAATGAAAGTTCCAGTAATATAATAAGCAAGGCATCCACGCAGGTCATTAATAAAAATTGCAATATACCGGTAAATATCAGCAGTGCTCAAGATAATTCCAAGAGTATCACGAATAAAACCAGTAATATATATGAGCCACTGGAAGTAAAGGGAGGTAGTGGCATAGAAAGTTGGGGATTTAAGAATGAAGAAGCAAATGAAGAAATGACAAAAGAATATAAAGTAGAAGCTTGGGATTTTCGAATTGAAGAAACGGAAGGTGATAGCATGTCAGAAACTTGTGGGTCAGTGACTGGAGAAACTGTGGAAGATAATGAGTGTTTATTTACTATTGCAAGTGGTGGTGGAGAGAGAGACAATTCCGAACCTGCATTTATTGGGACAAATTATGCGAGCAAAATTACAGTTGACCCATGCAGCAAGCAAGATAAGAGAGTCAACAGATTGAAAGAAAAGCGGAGAAAAAAGAAGGGAAGGACTGAGCGGAAATCTTCTGAACCAGTACATGTTGGCAAAAATGATGTAAATAAACTTCAAAATGAAAAGCCGTACCACAGAAATGATACAGGTGAGAAAGTTAGAGGAAAGCCACCCAAAAATAAAGTTAAAAATGCTTTTGGAACTTCTCATACTGAATCTTGGAATGAATTTTTAGATGATCTCCCTGCTCCGATTTTAAATCAGATTAATTGGAAAGACAAAGACAACATTCATGTTAGTCATCCCAAAAAAATAAAGAAAAAGAAAATTTCTTACAAAGATGGAAAATGTAGAGAATTAAGACTAGTTAAAAAATGTGGAGGTAAATCTCAGGACAATCAAGACCATAAATTATCCTGGTTAGAAGATTTGCCTTTGCCATTTGACACTTTGCCTGAGACAGGCGAGATGAGCATAAATGTTGGGCTTGATTCTTTCAGTGATCAAAGTAGTTTGATACAGTTTGAGAGTTCTGAAGTTGAGGAAACAAGATTTATAACGAAGAAAATAAAAAATAAACAGAAAGCTAAAGTAACTAAAAAGCGGGAACAGGGTGTAACTACTGATGTAATGTGTACACCATCTTTATCAAATGGTAAGGTATTCAAATTTAAAGAAAAAAACAAAAAGAACAAAATGCCTCTGAATGATAGTGAAAGCTCTAACTCAGATGCTAACAAATATGAAATAGATAGTTACGGTGCTTCGTCAAGTAGAGTCAAGAAGCGTAAACAAAATTCTGAAAATGAAGTACAGATAATTGCGGAAATAAGCGTCATTAGACCGAGTGAATCTGTTAATGGATCTCGCTCTAAATTCAAGAAGAAAAAATCAAAACGTGCACAGCTCATTAGTGAAACTGAAAGAGCGCTGCCACATTCAGCAAGATTTCTGGAAAGCGATGAATTATCCCATAGAAATTCTAAAAAAAAATGCAAAGATATCTTAAGGGAAACCGAGGGAATACATGGTGTAAAATCAGTTGAAGGTTTGAGATCAATGGATTTTTGTCAGGACCCCAAGAGAAAACTAAGAACAAAGAAGTGGCAAGTTGACATTCAAAATTTAACGTACCCATGCAACAAATTAAAAAAAAGAAAAAGTGGACTTATGGGCTTACATAGTTCTTTTGACCGCAGTGTACATTGTGAGGAAGAATCTCGGAAAAAAATGCATGATTTAGAGGAGGAAGTTAAGGAGAAGGACTTGAGCATTAACTTGTTTTCAAGTAAAAAAAAGAAAAAGAAAAAACATGGTGAGAGAGAGAATATTGAGCTAGTTCAAGAGAAAAGTATTAGCATGCCTGAAAGACTAAGCACATCAGTTGATGATGTTACTGAATCACTAGGAATGATGAACCAGCTAGTATTTTCATCTAATGATAAATTGAAGATGTCACAATGTGTAAGTAAGCAACATAAAAAACAAGGGAAACAAACTTCTGAAAAACATTTATCTGACATTGACGAAAGTTTAAAAATTCAAGGCAACTCTGTTGAGGTGTCTAATAGGAGTCCTAGAGATATGTCTCATAAAATGAAGAACCATTTGTCAAAAACTAAAAAGCCATTTTCAAAAGAAATTGCAAAGAGCACCACTAATTTAGATGTAACCTACAAGAATATTGACACCCCAAGTAAAATACGCAAGAAGGGCAGGGATCCTCTTAGTGAAATTGGATATTATATCGGTTATCCAGCACAAAGAACAGTAAGCATTGTTAATGATGATAAAATTAATAAATTACATGTTGCAGTCTCGGTTGCCCAAGGTATGAAGCGTGGACAATTGGAGTCTGAATCAAATAATACTGTTATGTCGATGACTTGTGAATATTCTGAGGCGACAGTTGGCAAAAAGGCTGCAGTACCTGAATCGATCAAAAAAAGGAAAAGTTCTGCTAGACTATCTCAGAGATTGTTAGAGAAACGTGTTCAGCCATCTCCTCCATGGCAGAATCATCCTAAATTTAATAGGAGATCTCATAAGCTTTTCAATCCAAATGATGGTCAACTTTTGTAAGATTATCAATAATAAGTTCTGTAACATTTTCAGGAAATTTGATATAATTTGCACATTTTCCATGTGTTCATATATTGTAAAAAATAATTATTTAAGTTCAGTGTACCAAAGATGGTCTTGCAGTATGTAAAAATTTTATTTCTTAGAAACTTTATTTTCATGTTCTGAATTGGATTCAAGCAATCAAAATGTCAAGAATTTATTGCCATGATGTATGCTCTTAAAATTAGCGCAAGTTATACTATATCAGCCTTGTAACTTGCTTAGATTAAAATTTTAGATTTAAATGATTGTTAAAAAAAATTATTTTTACTGTTCAAAGTTTAGATTTGTTGTTGGTCAATTGGGTATTTTTTTTCCAGTTAGACTTGCTGGTACACTTTATTTTAACTAATTGCTCAAAAGTATTTTTGTACATGCCTAAGATTTTTTAATAAAATGTTCAAACAGTGCCAAATCAGCATTTATTTGTTATTCCTTTTGAAATATCATGCTTTTGAAGCCTCTGAAACATGAACAAATGTACAGTATAAGTCTGTCAGGCTCTTTGGATTATGAAGGTTAGATGACATTCTCAACACTGACATTGCAAGGAACTTCAAATGGTCCCTTGATTATGATTTTCAAGATGTGTGTCTATAGTATCTGGTACCTGTGCCATCACTTGTCTTCATATTTTTGCTTTGTTTTTGCATGCCGATTATGTTTAGGACCTCCGGAGTATCCTGTGACAGATGGTGCTTAATAGTTTTCCCTGACTTGGTGTCTTTCATTGATTGCACAATTCCCTTTCAAGGGGTAACTACTATGCACAATTTATAAAATATATAAACAAATTTGTTTTTCATTGCAATAATTACAGGAAATATTTTTCATTCTTAACAAAGTTTAACAAATTCCCTATACTGTACTTCAAATTACAGAACTTCGAATTAAATAAATTTATATGTTTTTGTGCATCATGGTGCCATATGCTCCAAAATAATTTTTAACTGATGTGTATAAAGATTGATAATACACAGATGTAAAAAAATCTGGCAATTATAGGGATTTATACGCTTAATCCATTTTCCTTGCATTTCTACGGTAAAAACTCTTACAATGTAAGCAGCATTTTACCTTGGGTGAAGCAAAAATGTCTAAACACTTTGATGACGGTTTCCATTGTTAATGTCAAGCTCGGCCGAACCTGGAATGATTATCACTGTAAGTGTTTGCAGAATAAGAGAAGGTAACTTTGATAACTGGATTTATCCTGGAGTAATTTAGGAAAAGATAAATCCAGGGGATTACTGAGATAACTGTTTTAGGATTGGGGGGATTACTTATTATGTTATTATATCTCAATCTCCAGAAAATTTAGTTAAAACTTAGCACAGGTATAAACAGAACTTGTGTACTTAACACAAGTTCTCAAATAAGCATTAATGTATTGCTTTACAAAACACTGTTTATTGGTCAGTTATTGCTGATGACCTAACATTTAGGGAACATAACCAAGCTAATAAAAAGCTAGAAAAGTAACTGGATGAATTATGAGAACAACCAAATCCAGGGATCCCATTCCAGTGCTCATAACATTCAAATCACTAGTGCTGTCGCACCTTGAGTATTGCTTGATACTCGCTTCGCCCCTGCAGAGCACTTGTACTGGACGGTAGAACGACGGTCTCGCTTCATGCAGGTCGGTGTTCAATCCCCGACCGTCTAAATGGTTGGGCACCTTTCCTTTCCCCCGTCCTATCCCAAATCCTTATCCTGACCCCTTTTCCAGTGCTATATAGTCGTAAAGGCTTGGCGCTTTCCCCTTCCCCTCCCTCCCTCCCTCCCCTGCAGAGCAGGAGAGACTGCTGAAATAGAGGTAATACAGAGAACATCTACAGCATGCATAGATACACTAAAGCACCAAAATTATTGAGACTTGTCTCAAGGCTCTCAAAATGTACTCTCTGGAAAGGAGATGAGAGAGGTATCACATAATATACAGTACATGGAAAATACTAGGCCAGGTCTCAAATTTGCACAGTAGAATACAAACATGCTGGAGGGAATGAATGGGCAGGAAATATAGTATGGAGTCAGTGAAGAGTAGAGATGCCATAGACACACAGAACAGTGTATGAAAATCATGAGTCCACAGCTGTTCAATATCCTCCCAGCAACAAAAGTGGATATCTTCAAAACAATATTAATTTCCTGAAAGAAGTATCAGAGTAATTGAGTTGTAGTGAATGTGCGGGCCATTCTAAGCAACAGCCTGTTGGACCAAGTTATCATCAGTCAAGCTTTGCTCCAGGCTGGGCTTTGGGAGTAAAAAAAAACTAACAGAACCACTTAAGTATATATTTATTTCCTACAATTAACTCGCGCATCAAAAACGGAAGATGAAATGATTACCACGTGCAAAATTATAATAAGAATTACAAACTTAATAACAAATATCTCATATTTGCATTTTCGAGGAAAAGAGGTCATTGATTTAAGCTACAGAAACAAAGGTTCTACAAAAAATACATAAATACTATGCAGAATGGTATACGGTATACTGTAGATGAGAACTCATCTGTAATTACACACACTCGTTCAGTTATTTATACGAACTTTTTTACTCAAAATGTGCTACATAGTCTCCCCGACTTGGCGCCTTCTTTTGATAATTGTTTGTTTACTTCTACTCAAAATAGTAGAAAACGTCGTTTGGTCAGGAATTAAAATCTCCCAGAAAGGTTTCCAGAGATATGCAGATGACGTCACACACCTCCCCCCCCCCACACACACACACTATATTAAACACAAAAAAGTATCTTTTTTTTATTTATGGCAGGTTAGGTTAGAATTGAGTAAGTTTGCTTTAATGTGAAACGACATAACTCTTAGGTCTTTTTTTTTAGACTAGCTATATACATAGGCTCCAGCACTAGTCCACTACGGGCTCACCATAGCCCGTGCCACTTGCTCCGCTCCTGTGCCAGGTAAGTTACGGGCTCACCATAGCCCGTGCCACTTGCTCCGCTCCTGTGCTAGGTAAGTTACGGGCTCACCATAGCCCGTGCTACTTGCTCCGCTCCTGTGCCAGGTAAGTTACGGGCTCACCATAGCCCGTGCTACTTGCCCCGCTCCTGTGCCAGGTAAGTTACGGGCTCACCATAGCCCGTGCTACTTGGAACTTGTTCCGAGTAGCTGAATCTATAACAACAACTGGTGACTTCAACACAGCCTCGCTGGGCCAGCCAGTGCGCTCTTGGGTGTTGGTGAGGGAGGATGTGCGTCGCGTCGGTCCTGGTGCTTGCATGCCGGTAATTTCCTGTAGCTCGCAACTTCTTCATGATATCATATATTAAACTGCGATAGAAATTTTTTTTGGTGGTGAATCTAAGTGGCTAGTGTTGTGAAAGATAAGATTATACTCTTCAAGCCCAGTGATTGTGTGCAACGTTTTCGTGTGAAATTAGTATTTTATCTGTCAATGTCTTCATTAGTGCCAAACTGGAATCTGATAAACAATTAATCGGCAGTCAACTTAATAAGGTAAGAAGCACCCAGTTAATTATAGAGATTAGTACTTTCGGTTTCGTGTGTGTATATAGATATGTTTGTTATTTTTTCTTTATTAACCAACTTAGGTATACACAGAAATGTGCTGCTACTCTATCCAGTATGAAATGTACACAGTGTAGATAACAAAAACCTAGCTATAAGTTCATATAATATCCCCCATCTCACAGGATGGTTAGTCATACATGGAATCAAGAAAGAACATGAAATGCAAACCTGTTCTATTAGCCTCCACTAGCAAAATCCGAGTACAACACAAGAATATCTTCCAATATTGAAGTAATTACAGAGCTCAAAGTACCTCATATCATTTGGTCTGAAGTCAATGGTAACAGGACAATCAAAGATATAGTGTTGGAGAGTATGTCCCAGCTCTTGTTCACATAGTTTACAATTGGAATGTTCACCATTGGGGGGATTCATTACCTACAGCCACCTGCCATAGATATCGATATTCCAGCCTAATTCTGGCAATTACAATGTCACCCTGTCTAGTGGATGTTTTTGTGATGCCCGTACATAGAATTCTCGATTCCAAACATGTCATAGCTGGTCTGTTGCATATTCTGTGCTATAGAAGGCCTACCACACATGGACTACGGGCTCCCCATAGCCCGTGTTGCTTGGAACTTTTTGTTCCAAGTAGCGAATCTTAAACAACAACAACATAATGTGTGTAAAATGCGACGTAAGGTAAGACATATTCCTGTACGCTGCAGTTGGAGAATCTTCTATATAATGGATACTTTGGTGCAGGTGTAAACGTCAGTGGGGGTCCCGGTTCAATTCTTGCTGCCGACCGTCCAAGTGGTTGGGCCCCATTCCTTCCCTCCGTCCCATCCCTAAATCCTTATCCTGACCCCTTCCAAGTGCTATATAGACCTAATGGCTTGGCGCGTCCTTCTGATAGTTCACTTCCCTTGCTGCGGCAAAGCAGAAGCTTTTAGGCAACGTTTCCTTTCATCTGGTTCACGGGAGACATCTCCCGTCACGCAGGGTGCAGTCGCACCTCCACAGATCTCCAGTATCATCTATTGATACTGGTAATGGCTCAAGAGGGCCACCACTTACGGGCTATTCATGCCCGTGCCACCTTTAAGGTGGCTTAATCTTCATCAATCAATCAATCATTCATCTGGTTCACATAGAAGTAAGTACTCACCCGGGAGAGACAACTGTTGTGGGTTGCATCCTGGGAATCGTCAATATAGTTGACCAAGGGTCGCCTCGATAGGTCTTAATTTGCATAATCTAGAAAGACAATGAGGAATTAGGGGGTTGCTATGATTGAAGTATATAAATGGATCATTTGAGTATGTAGCATAAAGAAAGTTTTAAACATATAAAACACACTAGAACACGAAAGAATGGATGGAGAAACTTGGTACGTAAGGGAGTCGGCGGAGGCCTGGTCGAGGACCGGGCCGCGGGGACACTAAGCCCCGAAATCATCTCAAGATAACCTCAAGATATACTGCTGCAATATCTGAGTATAATATAGTCTGTAAACCTTGCATGCACTGACGCTCCGTGCTGTTGCAAGAGTATATGAGTGTGCGAGCCTAGGTGTGGGAGGCATGTTAGCCAGTAAATCTGTGGTGTCTTCCTGATTCCCACGTTGGCTTGGGACATCCTCATAGCCTAACGGCTGCTAGTTGTTGCTGCAACCACTGTCTCTACAGCTGTAAGGTTTACCTACTTTATTTTGTGGTGTTTCTCTATTGTTTAAAGAGAGAACACAGCAGGAATGGGAACATTTAATTTATTTAATATGAATTAAATGTAAATTAGAAAAATTCATTAAATGTTTGAATAATGTAGCAGAGACGGAAGTCGGCTTGAATACACATGATTTGTTAAACAATCAATTACCCGGTGATATATAAAGATCTTGAAGTCGCA